GCATACTACAGAAATGGTTAAACTGATAGCCTTCTCTATGGCCCATCTGGCCCAACTGAAATCACGATTTATTATCCCGTCTTTCACCGCGGTTACGATGTCACTGATGCCTTCAGTTATCAGACCCATACCAAAACTTGCTCCTCCACCGAGGGTGAATATCATAAGTGCAGCTCCAGCTACTACTTGACCAAGTCCAAGTAGAAGCAGACCTATCACTGAGGCCCAATCGATTGGCGGAATTTCGGATATCCGAAAACTACCTATAGCTCCATTTCTGTTAAATTCTGTGATTTCATTGTCATACGATTGGTCATTTTCGGGCAGACACTGTTGCATATTGATCATTTCAATTTTCATATCAAGTCCATTAGATTGTGCCTTTTGTATAACACCTACATTGTCCTTTCGAACCTTCAAATTCTTGATCGTTTCTGAAATCTTTTCTAAATCGTCCGATGTCATTTGATTGCGCTTCTTTAGTTCTTCGTATTTTTTAAGTTCTTGGTCTATCGCTTTTATATCGGGACCGATTGCAAGATCGATCGCACTCTTTTGAATATTATAGAGATTAAGCTTCTTGGATATTTGCGTGGAAAAAACTTCACCTTCCGAAGCGTGTTGCATTAAATGCAAACCGTATTCTTTTTCCTGGATCAACTTTCGCGCTGTTTCGAAATCATCGATGGCTTTATTTATGAAATATGTATTTTTAGCAGCGTTACCTCCGTATTCCGCGATGTATGCGTATCCCCTGTTGTAATGCGCATGCTCCGCGAAATTCGGATCCATTTCGATTGCCAAAGTGTATTCAGATATAGCATTTTTATATTTCTTCTCGTCCAGATATTTGTTACCGATCGTTACAAAAAAGTACGGATTTTGAATTAATTTACCGTTGTTATCGTCTCTCAAAATTTCTTTTCGAAACGAATCAAAACGCTCGAAAAAATCTGTCTTAGAATCATCTGTTATTTTGTCACTGTGCATTTTCAACCAAATAGCGAAACGCTCCTCGACGGCATTTCTCTCGGTCTCCTTTACGAATGTGTTTCGACCTTGAATGAGATTCGTGAGCTGACAGAACTTCTGAAAAATTTCGTCCTTTGCAGTTACTCTTTTAATTTCTTTTTCTGCATTCATCAGTGCCTTTTCTTCCTTTCTGGAACGATTCTCGCGTAATTTTGCAATATCAGTTTCACTGTTGCGCAGAATGAATTGACTTGTACCACGGTTGCCGGTTCTTGATGTTCTACCGACATTCTGTTCCTCGACTCTCGAATTTTTTGGCAAAAATGTAATGCAAACATGAAGTCCACCGTTTTTGTCAACATCTTTCGTCAATCTTATATCAGTACCTCTACCAGCAATGTTGGTTGTTATGATCACCTGACCGCTGTTCAATGGCTCATTGACCACCGCAGAATCATCGTCCGTTTTATACAACTTCAGTTTCCTCTTGTCGTAGCGAAATTCATCTACAAACGTCTTCTCTACCGCCTCAGTTTCGCTAATGTATTCCATGATAATTAAAACGGCCCTCCCATTGCAAAGTTTTCTGAGGCTACTCTTTACTATTTCTCTGTACCAGTCGTCTCGATTATTAACGATGATCGGTGATATTTCCTTGTGTCGTTTGAATTTAAACGGCGGAATAATTACAAAATCCAAATCGTACGTTTCAGCCAACAATCTCTTGGTCCCTTGGCAACCTAACGTACCGGTCAGTCCATAAATTTTTGGACGGTATCTTCTGAAGAAGCTTACGTTAGATATGAAGTTCGATGTGAACCGTTCCATGCTAACATTCGTTCCATGTTTTATCTCGAGAAACTGATGCAGCCCATCGGACCAACGCATAGACTGTTGAATTACACCAGTGTTATCGGCATCAACTATCTTTATCGTATTTTTGTCCAGTAAATAATCTTCTTTGATCAAGTAATCAAATTTCGCCCCGATTGCTCTCGCGATCCATTTCTTTAATTGTACCTTGCAAATAATTTCACGCAGATGTTTGGGTATTTTTATTTCTGGAAAATCACTGCTCAGATTTGCTGGGTCGCAATCCCGTATCAAATTCCGTATATGCGATTCTGTAGAGTTCGTAACGAAATCTCGCATGGTACCTTCAATCGGAACATAATTTTCGATGTATTCGTTCTTCCTATCTCCATTCTCATCGAACATATTCTCGCGTTCAATGAAATAAGACTGGCCGTCGTTTACAACGATGGATCCAGCTGCTGCTTTCACTTGTGCGTAAATAGTTGCCAAAATCGTTTCCAAATGATCCATTCCTGGCATTTCGCAAGACAACAGAACAATGTGATCATTACCATCCACAAGCATGTTGTCGACCTCGTCGACAATCGCGACGTCACACTTCCGGCCGTGTCGACAGCCAGATTTACGAAATTCATCACGAAGAATGTCAGCCTGAAATTCATTGGATGTGCTGTAAAGCACGTCGGCCTTATATGATACGGAGGACTTAAAATTATGCGCTACTTCGAGTAATAACGCCTTATAAAATTTTTCGAACTGTTGTGATTGCGGAATGGCTAGTAATTTGGAACTAGTTATAATGTCAACTTGATGATCGTTTAAAGCATGATACGCAGCAATCATTGCTATAGTTATTGTCTTTCCCTCCCCAGTATTGATCTGAGCTAATCGTCCTTTATCCTTTCGACAGTTCAAAAGCAATAGAACTGAAAGTATCTGTACATCACGGAGTTCAATATTAGTGGTAAGTTCGACAGCTCGTTTTATTACCGCTATTCTTTCATGCAGACTGACTTTATTGATAATATAATCTGATGACAGAACAGCTTCCATAAATACTGATGTAAGGTTTGCAGTCATGTTGCATTTTTTCTTTATTCTGGCTATTCGAACGATTAAACTCCATGCTTTAATGTTACTTGTATCCCAATTTTTTATCAAGCCAACCTCTTCAAAGAGCGTTGACTTGCTGTTATAGGCTTTCATTACTTTATTATACTCTTCCATCAAATCATTTTGGTTCTTCAAGAACGTAACATTCTCTTTTCTGTTCGCTATTACTAAAGCACCTATCAATTCTTCAACTGATTTTTTATACGTACTTGGAAAAAAGCTCTCAATTACGAAACTGTGAATGTTTCTTTGTACGTTCAATTCCGTGGAATTTAAAATAATTTGTATGGCGTCACTCTGTGAAATATTAACGTCATATTCAATTAGTATCTCTAATGCATTAATTAGTTGTATAATCTTATTCTTGCTGTCCAAGCATTGAATCAGTCTCTTTGTTTCTTCAAGTGTTGCCTCCGAGAACTTGCACTTCAACATCGATTTGTACAAAGCATGATTTAAATCATAAAGAAGTTTGTGCAGTAACAACTTGTTCTTTCCAAGTTTTACGGCTTCACGTAGTTCATTTTTCGTTGCATGATTAAATTGACAATACGTTGTCCATTTTTTATTGCCATCGGCAACAACTGGTACGAAGTATATTTCATCGAAGTCGTTTATAATATCGGCAGCCGTTTCGTATTCCCAGTCGGGGAATTGTTGGCAAATAAAGGTCTCGATTGCTGTTAAAGATAACTCCTCTTTCCAGTCCTCGATAGCTCCATTTGGATTCAGTTGACGCAGGAAATCTTCCTTCCTGCTTATGTCTTTCTCCTTCATTATTTGAAAAAAGTAAATCAACTTCGTTATAGGAGTCCCTCGTTTAACTTTTGAGAGAGTGATGTCAACTACTTCATCCGAATAAAAGAGCAAGTATTGTAACTCCTCGATTTGACTTTCGTCAGTGTAAGTGATTCCCTGATCATTACATTTTTCCTTGAAATGTAACAGCTCAAGTTGAGAGAGAACATTCGGCAAGAAGCAGAAATCTTCGAAGATGAGGTCCAACGATTCATTGGTATGTAGTAGCTTTATTACCTTAATGATGAATCCTATATCCAGCTCGCATATCTTCTGAGTCGTTATTAATATTTCCAGTACATCCTCGATACAATAAGAACGATTGCATTCTTTCAAAAAAATATTCAGGCTATTGATTTCTCTCACAAGTTTAGACGTTTGATTTACGCTCCATTCGTTGTTATTCGACAGTAATGTATACGTGAGCAATTCTTTGCCCCAATCGGTCGATTCAAACTCCTTGAAAATTGATAAATTAACTCCATATGCATTATCAAAAGTAGATATCGACAAAGTTTTGAGCATTCGAAATTTTTCAGTTTTGTCGCACGTATTCATGTACTTGTCTAATTTTTCTATTTCTGGCATATGTTCAGTTTCCGGTACATTCGATCGATCTTTTGGTTTATTGACAGACGTTTCTGACGAAAGCACTTGATACCAGTAGAGTGCGTATGCAATAATTTCAGCTAAGACTTCTAAGACTTTTGATAATACATTCGAACATTTCTGCGAATAAAACAAAACGTTGTCCCGTATTTTCTCTAGAACGTTCGTTTCTTGACGCAAGTTAAATGAATTTAAGTTCAGTTGCTTTTTAAGATACGAGTAATAGTTTTGAAAAAATGTATCGGAGCGAAGAGCCGCTATTTTTTCTAAACAACCAAACGCATATCGTTTCATTTGAAAATGTTTCCAATTATTGTCATTGTCTTTACCCGATTCCAACACAATATTTTCCAGGATCTCCGTAACATTTTCGTATTGTAAATACTGTGAAGTAACTGAAATGTTTTTGTACAGACTTTTTAGACTATTCAGTCTCAAGTTTATATCGTTCTCCACATTTTTGCTGTTTGCCAGAGCCGTCATCACATGACTCTGTTTATCTTCTACGAATCGTTCCATTTTTATTTTCGTTCGAGTTATTTATTAATACGGAATGATATAATTGACCAAATTAATCACAGTTTGTGCGGAGTTTACGCAAAACAAAAAAATCTTATAAAAATATTTTTTTTCGATTCATTTGTTGATTGAATCGCTATAAAATCACGTCGATAGACATTTTTTAAATCGTTTTAATAGCGATCATTGTAACCCCTTTCGATAAAAAATTTCGCAATTTCAAGACAATCACTGTCTGTAGCCATGTGCTTAGCTGTATCTCCAAAGTTATCATTACGCTGAATGTTGACGTGCAATTTATCGACTAAAATATGGACCAATTCTTCGTATCCATTAGTGGCAGCAACGTGTAAAACTGTTCTTCGATGGTTACTCTTGTCAACGGAATCGATGTCAACTTTTCGTTCTTTGACTACTTTTGGTATGTCTAACTATTTTTGGTATGTCATTAAACTTGTTCAGCATAGTCCCGTAATTCGGAATTTCTATCCAGCAAAAATTTCACAATGTTCATATTATTTACGTCGGTTGCTACCTGCAGAGGAATTTTTCCATATCCGTTCTGAACATTAACAACAGGAGCATCGAATTCGTCCACAAGAATTCTTGCCAAATCGTTGTGGCCTTCCTTCGCAGCAATCTGGAGAGTACTATGATCGTGAGAAGTTGGGTCCTTTGCATCTACTTCAACGGTCTTACTCTTCAACAATTCCCTAACTTTGTCTATCTCGTTCTTTTTAATAGCTTCGAAGAACCGCAAAACCACTGTATTTGTGACAATTGAGAATCCCTGAAACAAAAACAATTTGTTCGGAAATTTTAATCTATTCAACACGTAAAGAATTTTGCACTTTTCGTATGCGTTTCTGATAGATCTTTATGAGCTGAATACGAAACTGCAAACCGTTTCTTTCCAGCACGTCAAGGTTTCGGAAAAATCAATTTTTTTTTAAACTGCGAATTTTCTACTTTGGAACAATATTGTGTTCTGACACTAGTAGTTATTCAGTTTCTTTTGACACGAGATAATTCTCTGGACTCTTTCGAACAAAATTATATAAATTGTTATTATATTATAGACATTTAAATATGTTTAAATAATGTTCAAAGTAAAAAGGACATCGAAAACGCACCAATTTTCGCTGGTATTTTTCAATTTATTTCAAAAGTAAAGGTGTAGGAGGAAATCTAACCATAGCACGCGATAGAGCAGACCAAAACGATTTGCAGATTCGTATTCAACTCATAAATATCTATCAAAGACGCGTATTGAAGGTTACAAAAATAAGAAAAACTTAAAATTTGTTAATCAGTGTAGTAGGTGTTAATGTTTTTTATATCTCTGAACAAAGTGAAGCACACTATTTTCGTTATTACTTCATCACCAAAAATTCTTGCAATGTTATAGGAGAATATTAACTTCTTGGTAAGTACGTGTAGTAGCTACAGTAAATCCTGGATGATTGTTCGAAGGCTCCTCGGCGCTGACAAGGACAGACCCCCAGGTGTAACGCTGACTTTTTAATGAGGTTTAGTACAATAACAGAGCTTGAAATTCCGAAGTCAGTGATAGTTGTTTCATCCACATATGGCTATTAGTGTATGAAATATTCAATGTTCAATGCCGAGGAGGCTTCGAACACTCATCGAGGATTTACTGTACCTATGACAATTATTGTAATATGAATTATCAGTTACTTAAAAGACGAACAGAAGTTTAATGAATTCATAAAAATACATCAAATTTGAAAATAGTCCAAAAAATAGAAAATGGAAATAATTTATAATGAAATACCATTAGAAAATATTTTTTAATGGTATTATTATTCTAGGGTAATATACCAATACGGCTTTCCGTGCAAAAATTGTGCAATACTTTATGCCAGGGTTTCTCAAACTATGGTACACGTACCACTGATGGTGCGCAGAAGATTTTTCTAGGTGGTACGCGAGCTAAAATAAGCTAAGATGGCCACTCGTCCTGTAAATTTAATTGACAATTTTATTTTAAATGTCGGACAGTTTAATTTACGTAACTGTTTATGCAGATATTTAAGTAATACGCGGAATATAAAGTTTGAGAACCCCTGCTCTGTGTATTTTTACAAAAATTTCTTAGAAAATCCGGTGAAGATAAATTGTCTTCCAATTCCAGAAGACTCGATAAAGCAAACACTTCTATCTCTAAAAAAAGCGCATCAAGTAAAGTCATATTAACACTAGCCATTCCTAACCCAGACCTGTGTATGTACATACACTTCTTCTTTTCTCAGAAAGGCAACGTAAATGTGAGCTTTCGATTTTCGATGAATACGAAGGTGTGTATTAAATTTAATCAATGAGCTATAATACCACTGAGCTATAATACTAATTCACTAGTATTATAGCTCATGGAACCTAATCTAATCGCCAGAAGTGATGGTAGCTATGCCAACTAAGTAACTTCAATTCCTAGTTTCGTAGCAATAAAAATTCATATTAAATACAAAACACGTAGGTAATGAAAGACATATCAGAATTATATTTATTCAAAATAAGATGAAAAAATTGATATTATTCATGTACCATCAGAAAAAGAATAATTATAAATGAAAATTAAAAAATGATCGAAGATAGAAAAATTATTAATCTTATATATCTGTTGTTATCATTAACTTTTATAGCATTGGATATTTATCCATCGTAGAGTGTATTTCAGTCTAATTGAATAACTCAAGTGATTTCCGTGTGCTGCTAAACGATTTTAGTTACACTTATAAATTCTATATGTATATGTAACTATAAAAATATATACAGGATGTAAAAAAAATGGTACATGACCCGGAAATGGGAGACTCGTGAGGTGATGTGAAACAAGTTTTTACATAATAAATTATAATCTACATGTTACCTAGCAATTCTTTAGAATTGCATCATTCTTTTAGAATTTCTTGTTTTTTTCTACTGATTTTTAAAAACACAAATAGTAATGTAATTTGTCGTAAAATCATATTCAATACGTTTTTCTGTTTAAAGATCAAGGACTTACGATCGCAGTGAGCAAATTCACTCAAGATAAAAAAAATCGCAATCACGGTCGTGAATGAAGTTAAATCACGACCGTGATCGTGATTCGGCGATCACTGTGATAAATCACCGTTAGTGGTTTTGTACGCCATCTCTACTCACACTCTGACTCACGTTTCCACGGGGCCTGGAGTCTGGGTTGGTCTCGCTGTCACTCTATTGGCTCTCGCGATACAACACACCTTTACAACTTGACAGACGCAATCCAAATGATTTTCTGAATCACCCTACCCTAACGTAAGCGCACTATCTGCTGGTCACAGACTGTGACTCAGTGACTCACAGTATGAGATGAGCGCAGTTTTCTTTTTCTTGACATGTATCTAACCAACTCTGAAGCATTATACTAATCAATACTAATCGATTTGCAATTCTATGAAACTAAACGTCCGTTCACGTTAATAACTCTGCTAAGAATGAATCGTTACTTTGTTGCAGTCAAATAAACAAATGTTAATACAGGTTTACAATTAGACGTTAGAATCAAGTTCTTAATTAAATATCGTTTTAATTTCCTATCAGTTTTTATACATGCTTTTCTGTTTTTTTATAACAAATTTTATGAATAAAATCTTTAACAACTAATGTAATTGGACAATTTTATCTTTTAAACGAGCGTTTCACCTATTCTACGAACTATTCCTTAACAACTAATTAATAAACATTATATTTTGACATTTAATCAATTAATTATAAGAGTTGAATTTAGCGCTTTTAAAAGAACATACATACAATATATAATATATAGATGGTGTTCTAAATCAAATCAACGATACAGACGAATACGCAACACAAGAAGGAGTAAAAAGTAGTGATGGTCGATTTAGTCGATAGTTTTTAGTCGACTGAAATTTTGCTTTATAGGTTATGTATAGATTATGTCGTCAACTTTTCAGCACCATTGATGTATTTACCTTTTAGAAATGTATTATTTCATAGATAGAATTTTAAAAATATAAGTGCTGAACAAGTTTTTTTAAACAATTACTAATATTCAATTTTTTGTAAACTATTTAATATTGGCACTTAAAAAATTAATTGCTCTAAATTTTGTATGAAAATCAATTGGGTTATAAGCAATAATTTGCACAGTTCTTGATAATGCATAAAAAAATATATGAAAAAATTGCAATTGGTTTACATCCCGAAGAAAATAATCAAGATCCAGTCAATAGCAATCAATAGCTCGATAGTTCGAGCGAGTCGCTTGAAGCGACTACATTTAGTCGACCGAAGTAGTCGCATCAAGCGACTATAGTAGTCGACTAAAAGTAGTCGTTGTTTACTATCGACCTAGTCGATAGTTTTTAGTCGATGGTGCCCATCACTAGTAAAAACTAAAAACCTTAGTGGTAATCCACAAGTGACAATCGTTTACGGTTTTTTAATGAAAGCCGCTTGGTGACACTACCATTGCAATTTAAGAAAACTTACTATACTTGAATTATATAGTCTATGTTTTATCGTGGTACATATCCGGATTCCCTAACCTTTTCCGCCTTTTTAGAACGGGATCTGCGGCGTGGATCGCGTTCAGTTCACGAATCGTCTTTCATCTGTGTGTAGTGTTTAGTGTTTTTACACAACACAGTCAAAATGCCTCCTAAATTCGATCCCACTGAAATTAAGAAAGGTATTTCTTTTAATTTGTGTACTTTTTATACGTAAAATATTAGTTCTAATTTAGTTGTGTTCCAACAGTTTATTTACGATGCGTTGGTGGTGAAGTAGGTGCAACTTCATCTCTCGCTCCAAAAATTGGTCCTCTTGGTTTAGTAAGTTTAATAAACTTTAATAAATCTTTATTCCTTAATAATTTTCACCCATTTAAGCTATTCCTTCTAGAACTTAAAATACTTGGCCTCGTTTTTTTTCTGTTCGTAATATTTCTATAATATTAATAATATTTCAATATTTGTAGTCGCCGAAAAAAGTTGGAGATGATATTGCCAAAGCTACAAGTGACTGGAAAGGTTTGAAGATTACAGTGCAGTTGACTATTCAAAACAGACAGGCTACTATTTCGGTAGTCCCATCTGCTGCTTCTTTAATCATTAAGGCTCTGAAAGAGCCTCCAAGGGATCGCAAGAGGCAGAAGAATATTAAGCACAGTGGAAACCTACCGTTCGACGATATTGTAGCCATTGCCAGAACAATGAGGCCAAGATCTATGTCAAAATATCTTAGCGGTACTGTTAAGGAAATCCTTGGAACGTGCCAGTCAGTAGGTTGTACAGTGGAAGGCAGACCACCACATGACCTCATTGATGACATTAATACTGAAGCATTACAAGTTCCTGATGAATGAATATGGTAGGTTTAGAGCTCATTGCTAACTTTTCATCTCAATATCTAATAGTCCAAAGAAATAAAATTACAAAACAACTGATATTGCGGTGACAAGCGTATGCTTCGAGCTCTTGGTAGGGTTTAGCATCCCATCCACCTGATCAGTTATAACTATGACCTGCAAGATGGTTATACACTGTCAGGAATATTGCTACTGAGGAGAAAACCTCAATAATAAATCATGAAGTAATATAAAATCTGCGTGTAAAATAGTTAAATCAAAAACTGTTTTTATTGTTTCAGATTTTTTATAAGGAGCAAAAAATAAAACTGTTTTAAAATCAAGTGTTCTATATGTTTATTTATACGATTGTGTGTGTGTGTGTGTGTGTGTGTGTGGGTGCGTGCGTGCGTGCGTGTGCGTGTGCGTGCGTGCGTATGTATGTTGTAAATATGCATTTTCTTCTCCTTCTGAAGTAAATTAGAAAATAACATGTTTGTATACGAATAAATACATATATTTAATATACTTCAGGATTCATTACATGTAGAGATCTCTTGTATGATTAGAGATTATAATAACCATGAATGATAATTATGTATAGAGGTCATTCATAAGCTATTAAAATTAAGAATTGTACACTTATGTCTATGTAAAATGTTTTACTTATATCTATAACAAAGTCTTAATTTAAATAGAATTGTTTAAAAAAATAACAATTCAGTACCATCTATTGCTAAATACACGACAAGTAAGAAACTCTACAAACCACTAAATAGATTGAGTTTCACTGTTAAATGATTCGTTGAAGATACAATTTTGGAAGAATCATAATTTTGCTTTACATGCATTAGTATACTATATACTCTTGAGTAAGATGTATTTCGTACATTACAAAATTCAATTATAAAATTACAAATATGATTATGGCGCTTTTTACAAATAAACACAATTTGTAATGTAGAAAATCTTACAATTTACTTATGTTTTAAGTTCTTAATTAATAGGTTGAGCTTTTGTGTCATTAGTTGATCTTCCAAAACATACCAATAATATGAAATTTCATTTTACATATTGCTATGGATTTTTAAATAAATATAATCAAAACAAAACAGTACTGGAAAGAATTATAATACAGAAAGTAACCTTTCTTATAATAAAGTTAATAGTTTATTGTCCCAACACATGCCCTTGCCCCCAGTTATGACCACCAAACATGTTTCTGTTAGGTTGTGGTTGTGCTCTTTGAGGAGGTGCTCCGAACCATCTGATTCCAGCCCTTTGAGGTGGAAAGTAAGATTCTAATATCTTTGGGGTTTTCAACAATTCCGGGCCACCAAGTTCTTGAGGATATTTGAACTTTAAGAATATGTACAGGTGTCCAACTAGAATGCCAAAGAGTTCCATCATACCACCTCCAGAGATAATTAGATTAAATGCGAATAGTACCCATGGTAAGTACATTGCCTTAAACTGTGTACCTGTTAATTTATGGTAAAAATACAATTTAGAAATTAATTAGAAATATAAACATGCATAGAATACCTGAAGTTAATTTTCTCATTGGAAAAAGTACATACCAAACCAGAAGTTAACAATAACGTCCTTATTCAACTGACACCAGACATACAATATACTGAGTACCATAGGATCCATAAGGACGTAAAATTCACCAAGAAGTCCTATGACAACGCAGCAGATCCAATTGAACAAGAGCAGAAAACAATAATCTGCTGGTCGCCCATCGTACTCTACGCGTTCTAACCTCAGTGAATAATTATACAGGAAATAACAATTGATTAAGAAATGAAAGCCTGTGCCCGGACTGAGAGGGTAGAAGAAGACACTGGTCGCCGCTCTCCATATTTCGAAATTATTTACAAAACGATCGTACGTAAGAATCAGTGAACGGGGACTGATAAGTCCGAATCTACCGATTAATGTAAATAAACCTGTACATAATAGCCAATATCTTGTGAAAAACGGTAAAGAATTAAACCAATCTCTCACGTCTGACATTTTTCGTTCCTTTACTTCAATGAACGAAAAACTTTAGTGAATGTACAAAAAATTTTGACCGCAAATGACAACGTCTGACGTGTGATTACTTGGTGACTAAACAACGCACACGTATAAGATTAGGTTAGAAACTGTCGGAACAAACATGGAGTCGTAAAATACGTTTTTATCTCAGTACATTTAACCCATTTAACTTTTCATTCCCAAATGATTTAATAGTTGTAAAAAATGTTAATATTTTTTAATACATTACATAACTACGAAGGTTTATGTACAATATATATATTTTTTCTGGATTAATACATAAATTACAGAATCCGGCACTAAACAAAAATTGTGACACAATTTGAACACCTTAAATAACTTCTAAATAAAGTATTCATTGTATGAACAATTTTTTTATTCAAATGTTGCATGGTTTAGGGGAATACATTATGTATTGCATATAATTTTTTTGTAAGTAGAATGGTATTTTCAAGAAAGGAAGTGAAATTATTTGTTGATTATTAGGTTTAGAGCTAATAAAGGTCAATACTTTGTTACTCAGAATGCAACACTATTCGATATTTTAGATAAAAAATATTGCATTCCATTTAAAATAACGAAATTGACTTTGAAATCTCTGAAATGTTTCCACCTACAAAAAAATTATATGCACTACATAATGTATCCCTCCAAATCATGCAACTTTTTAATAAAAAATTTTTGTTATACAATGCATACTTTAGAACTTATTTAAGGTATGCAAGTGCATGGACCAGCCTGTACATATATGTATATGTATATGTATATGTGTGTTTTAAAGTATAAAATATTGAAACCTCATTAAACTTTATTAAACTGTTTAAAATATTAAATTTGAGACAATGAGATGCCACGTATTGATAATTGTCAATAAACAATTCAACAGTACTTCACAACTAACTTAATTATAAACATTCATAACAGGAATTTATAAATCTTTTTAGAAGAAAGGAAGTTTAGAAAGTAATTTTTTTTCATTGTTGAGATAAGATGAATTCATTTCATTGTGATAACACAAATCATTCATTACGTAGAAAAACCAATTTGAAATCAAAATTTAAAGAAGCATATTTATTTAAATTATATTTTTATGGTTTATTTTTATTTTTTTACAAAATCTTTACACAATATGTAATGTGGAATTATACCTTAGTAACTTAAAATTAATAAAGTTACAAAATATTTCTACACACACACACACACACATATTTCTCACCTATGTATATGTATAAATATTTTATACTTTGATGTTTTCACAAATTTTGTTTTGTTTGTATAATAACACACACGCACACACACGCACGCATAACATGGGCAAATATAATTTGTACAAAAGTATGATTTATTGAGATGTTTTCTCAGAAACTGTAGTTAATGTCAAACATAATCAGCAATTTTATTACAGTACATATAAATCTATGTTATAGAATAGACAATGACAATGAATGAAGTCAATTTCATTTGTATGGAAAAATTATGTAAAGTATTACTCCTTAAATAGAGTATTTTAATTCCTTATGGTCGACTTTCACAGAAGACATTAGGCATTTGTAAAAACATCTAAGTTATGTTTCATAGATTAATCACAAGTTCACTGGTTCATAATCTTGAAACAACTTCGGCCGCAAGCAATTAAAATATTTTATTAACTCGTTTCCATACATTATAAATTTATTCTATGAATTTCTTTTATCATGATTTGTAACGCAAGATTTTTGTTTCAAATTTCGTAAATAAATGTTTCATGAATGAAATGTTTATTCTCTTCTAAATTTCTCATTGATAGAAAGACAGTAACCTTAATTACAAAATTGTTACAAATGTGAAACCGCATTTCCTATTTATCTGCTTTAAATAATATATATGTACATACATATCGACATAATTCAGTCATCAGAACCACCTGTTCGTTTTGTTCTTCGTTGCCTGGGGCTTTGTTGCGGAGTCCTGGGAGATTTGTCTGTAAAAAATTTTCAGAATAATATCACAAGTATGAAAATATTAATAATATTTCTGCTGAAAATTGAATACAGTACTTACTGAGTCTCTTCAGAGTTTCCTTTGGTATCCAGTCATAATCTACATTATTAGGATTGGATGTACCCATTTCCATAGGTATTTTACGAGAAGTAGAAGATCGAGATTTACGACCAAGAGATGAAAGAAGTTGTTGCCCTCCGACAAGTGTCAGTATTATGCAGGCAGCAAGGAATATGTACAAGAAAACTGTTTCTCCATCAAGACCATCATCTAATTCTACAATTTGCACTGTTTCATTATAAACTGCTTCATTGAAGTTCATGCCATTCTGTAAGGTTACAAATTATTAATTCCTTAAATTGATATTCTTTAAACACATTTTGTATCACTTACAGTATCTCTGTAGTTCAAATTAATATTGAAACCAAATGGCCTTCCAGCAAGATTTTCTGATGGAATGAATGAATACGCTAAGGTTGCCTCTTGTTTTGGCTTCACAATCTTATTATAAGCAACAGTTGAGAAGTTTTGAATATAGAAATTAAAATCCATTGCATAACGGAAAGAAGCATCCAATGACTCGAGAACAAAGTCAGATTCACCTTTATTGGTAAAACCAACAAGTAGCTCAACTAAGTTACCACCTGGTAGTTCTGAAATAATTGATTACTTATTGAAATAATATTTTATAAATTAATAACATACAATACGACACCAGAAGAAATCTATGTATGTATACCCAATGTTGATAATCCGTTATAAACAGGTTTAATAAACAATACAGTGGTGTCAGCATCAGACGAGGCAGTGGTTGTTTCTTCTTCAGGTTCTTCATCTGTTATTACAGAATTTTCTTCACCTTCAACATCGACTATGTCATCTATATTTTCATCTTCTTGACCATGAACTAAAAAACAAACAAAAAATTAATTATTTATTTCTACAGAAAACATATTCTTTATGCATTGGCTCTTAATTAACTTTTAACTATAAATACCGGCTGTAAAATTCATTAATAATATATTTCCGATTTCAAATTGCAACGATTATGTGACTTTTAGAAACAAATGGGTAATGCCTGTTTATTCAAAACTGTGTTTAAATTACAAATAACACGGTTATAAAAGATAGTTAGTTTTCAATTGAAAGTTTATCTAATACTGTGGCAGAGCAAAAAAAATAAGAAAGTAGATTCATTTGTGTGAATGCATATTGTACACATGTGTCAAAAATGCAAACGACAAAGTGAAAAACATATTTTAAGTACCATTCTTTATTGTCCATTACCTCTGTTCGCGGTGAGAATAATTGGAGAAACGAGCAGTAATAAAAAAATGCCGAAGTTCTTCATTTTGTTCCGTCTTGTTTAGAAAAACTTTTCTGTTATGAATATAGATTTTCTCTCACTTCCCGACCACTCACTTCAGTACCTACACCGGACTACACGCTTCGACATACCATCAGCCTACCATTGCTACTTGCGACGTGGAAGGTCAGCGGCGTAGTCGTCAATTCTACAACGTGGAACATCAACGTTGGAATTAAATAGTGATATGAGGATAGTTTAATCTTACCAACATGGTGAGTTGAATCACTAGTAATTATCATAATAATCTCTAGTAATCAATTTTTAAATGTCAAGAAAAAAATGAATATTTTATTATTATTGTATTATTGAAATAGAAATAGTAATTGTATTATTATGGAATATTCTATAAAAGGGCATATCTGAAGAGTAATTGACAAAATAAGTAAACATTACATGAAAACAATGTGAAGAATTTATTTCCTATACTCAGGTGGTAAGTCACATCGTGTGACCACTACAGTTTACATGTAACTGTCACCTCCTGCTATTTCTTTGACAGATAACCTAAATATATTTTCTTTTCGCGTAAACAGGTAAACATATATACCGCTTTTATTTGTCATATTATATGCTGACAAGTATTTACATAGAACTTCTTACGAGCTATTAGTAGAAGTCTTAATTACTTGATCTTATTAATCGACTAGATTTATATACATAATTATTAATGCAGTGTGAACATTCAGCATAATTATCGTTAATATTGCAGATTGCAGACATGGATTACGAAGATGATTTCTTCTTTGAAGAGGATAAGATGTTGGTTTCATGAAACCGTTTGTTTCTTTTATTGTTGATATGCATTATACTTCGATTTAAATGTGCTTCTCTTTTCTTATAACATGCATGTCTATATGCCGCGGTGCGGTGGAATAGTTTGAAGGATCGAGCAGTTTTATCTGCGAATAACGATACTTCGAAAGAGTTGGATGAAAAGTTTCAAGAGAATTGTCTTGTTTCATTGACCACCGTGCCATTGGCTAATGTGAAGTCAGATCAATATACTATGATGGAAGATCGCATGTACGCATTGTTGTGTTTTACTATCTTGTTATTAATTAAAGCAGTTTAGATTTCTGTTTATTAACCCTCGTATAATGAATGCAGGGTCATTTTGACTCATCGATAGTTGTTCTATTCTTTGTAATTATATATAAATATAACATATAGACATGAAAATATACATAAAATTTTACGCATAAGGCCTTCTTGAAATCAGTGTACAATGAAAATTCTACTATGAGTCGGATTGACCCTGCATTTGTCTGCCGCGTCAGTCCTGAACCATTCACCTTGCGAGGCTTAATATGCATTCTTGAAACTCTGTTGATGTTATGTTTCTTTTTGTATTATCATAAAACACAGGCCTGATGTAGGGCTGGTCTCTCAAGATCAGTCTCTTCATCAGCTATACAGATGTTCAATGTAAGTTTTAATAATGATGTGCTTGCTAGTAATTATGTGTACAAGATCACTTTAATCAATGTCTGAGTTATTTTGAATGTATTAATTGTAGTAGTAAGATAATTTAATACTGTTTTGTTATACTACTAATAAGCATTTAATTATTGAAAGATATTCAGGTAAGAATTTCTTTAATGATTATTCAATACAAATGTGTACAGTTGAGTCCAGTTATTGCGACACCGCTTGTAACAACAAAGCGAATATTGCATCCTACTTGCTCTCTAAGTTCGGTTCCCATACACATTACTTTATATATATTTTCATTTTGCTTATAACAACATTCGTTTACAGCGACGTAATTTCTCTGTCCCTTGGATTTCGCTATAAACGGACTCCACTATAACTAGTTCTTCTTACTATGACACACTGAAAAGTAATTATTGAAGACTATTCATTTAACAAATGTTTAAACTATGAACAGTACCTCGTACTATTATTTTAATTTTTATTATAGTTTTAAGTTATATTTAGTATTTTGCTAGAATGTTGCTACATTTGAATGTAATTTATAAATAGTTGAATGTAGGTGTCTACATATGCCAATGTATTAGTTAGCGTAATAGTTAGAATTATAAGTATGTTTACTAGGCTTTCTTAATATTTATTTAAAAGCAGTGTTTCTTTTATCTAAAGTAGATACTAAGCTCCACAACATTTAATACATTTTTATTATTGCATTATTTTATACAGGGGTATGACGATTACTTCTGGCAATGTTGTCATACAAAAAGATAGCAGTAATCTCATAGGCATAAGCATCGGAGGTGGAGCACCCCTCTGTCCTTGCTTATATATTGTACAAATATTTGATAATACACCTGCGGCAGTAGATGGTACTTTACAGTCAGGAGATGAACTTGTTGCAGTAAATGGAACTTCGGTTAGAGGAAAGACCAAGGTAGAAGTTGCAAAAATGATACAATCATGTGACTCCCAAGTCAGTATCAATTACAACAAGTTACATGCTGATCCTAAACAAGGTCGAACACTTGATATAGCTCTTAAAAAGGTTTATATTGCATATAATTGTCTGTCTAATCAAAATAATTGTTTAATCATATTATTACCAGTGGCTAAATTACATTTCAGGTGAAACATAGACTAGTAGAAGGGATGGGAAGTGCAACAGCAAACGCATTGGGACTGTCACGTGCTATTCTTTGCAATGATGCACTTGTACAGAGACTAATGGCATTGCAGCGAACAGAAAATTTATACAGGGGTCTAGTTTCTCATGCTCAATCTACTTTGCATGCATTTTTTGACTTAACACAAATATATAAAGGTATGTCTACAAATTACAATAAGTTTTTATTTGTAGGCATAAGTATAGATTGCTAACTTGGAATAATAGACGTGTGAACATTTTTCACATTTCTTCATAGTAACATTCCAAATTTAAAAAATTTCAACTATTATAAATTATATAAAATTATATTCCAGTATTTGGAGACACCTTCGCTGCAATAGGAGTCAGAGAGCCACAACCACGAGCCAGCGAAGCCTTCAGACAGTTTGGTGAACAACATAGACAAATGGAGAAGTTTGGAGTAGCAATGTTGAAGTCGTTGAAACCCATATTGAACGATCTAGGCACGTATCTTCATAAAGCTATCCCAGATACTCGATTAACTATCAGCAAGTATGCCGATGCGAAATTTGAGTATCTTTCATATTGCTTAAAAGTGAAAGAATTGGACGACGAGGAGCAAAGTTACGCGGCACTACAAGAACCTCTTTATCGAGTGGAGACAGGCAATTACGAATATCGTTTAGTTTTGAGATGTCGACAAGAAGCTCGAGCAAAATTTGCGAAACTTCGATCGGATGTACTCGTAAAACTTGAATTACTAGACAATAAACATGTTCAAGATGTTGTATGGCAATTGCAAAAGTTTGCAGCTGGCTTAGGAAAATATTATTCCAATACGAAAGATCTGCTGTCCGCTGTGACACTGTTTCCTGTAGAGGTTGACTTGTCGCACTCTGCGTTCCAATATAAATCTATTGGAACACAAATAATAACTGATGGAGAAGATGTAGATGAATTTGAGCCCGAAGAAAAATCAAACAATGAAGAGCTCCTTATAGATACACAGAACCTTACAGACACACTTATAACATCGGAACCAGATAATATGTAGCACTTTATTTCTAATAATTTTGGGAGCCATTGTTTAACGCTTTTAAAATTCTAATGGACAAGAATTAACGCCATGAGAAACTTCCAGTATTTACGTTATAATTTCAATATTGATAATACAAAGATTAATACCAAAGATCGTTATTTTTAAGAGATATATATTTATGATAGATGTATGTAAAGAAACATATACGTATCATGTGTAATGTATAAGTTAATTATATATGTATACAATAAGTATTAATCATAAGATGGAAAAGTGCATTTATGAAAGTTTTAATTCCTACAGTAAGCACGCGAAGTAAAAGAATCTGTAAATATAAATTATACGATTTATTTAAAAATACTATCTTTGTCTCCATTTTTGAATATCTTTGAGAAAGATTTTCATATCTATGTGTGGGTGGTGGAGTGGGATGGACATATATATGTGTGTGTTCAATAGGAACACGCGCAAAAAATTGAATTCACCCTCTAATATCGAAATCCAAGTATTTAATATAACAATAATTTTTTATATTTATAATTGCATATATCAATATAATTATTATATGCACAAGCGAATGAAACGTATAAGAACCACCGCCCGTGGTAATTTGGAGAATGTGAGTGTACTTACAGTGTACGACAATGAAAACGATATATAGATCTTAAATAGTGTTAGTTTCTCTGATTGAACATTGTAGATTCCGAAATGGGTTTGTTGATGGATCGTAGAGCAGGATCTGATAAAGTAATAAAATTTTTATTAAGATGGGAACGATCATTGTGTTTTCTTTTTTATATCCTTGGAATTATTTGGTTACTACTTCTTGCTTTACCAACATTTAATGACAGTAAGTATAACTTTCCTGTGTCAATTTAAGCCGACGGTGCGAGGTTATATTTTTATTTATTATAAGGGATCTTTGATAACCGGAAAATTCCGATTTTTAAAAACTTTACAGATTTGTAGGAGATTTCAACAGAAGTACCAGGTAAGTTTTTGTGCTACTTTTTGGTTTTTCGTCATGATAACATCCCTTAAATGTTAAAATGTGTTTTCATATTTTTCTATATATCCTGAAAATTGTAGTAGATATAAAAAAATACTTGTAACGAAGATTTATTGACATTTTATGCTTTATAAAACTGTTCAGTGAAATTGTTAAAAAAATGTTGTTTAAATAAATAAATAACAAATTTTTAACGATTCAATTGCACAGTTTTATGGAGCATAAAATGCCATTAAATTTTCATTGTCACAAGTTTTTTTACATCTACTTACTGTAGTTTTAAAGATACATAGGGAAACACAGTAACTTTTAAAAGATGTTTTCATCTTGATAAACCAAAATATAGCAAAAAAAATTGCCTGATATTTACGAGAAACTTTAATGACAAGAGAAAGAGATTTTATAAGAAATCCGCAAAGTTTAAAAAAAATCAAATTTTATGGGTTGTTGAAGTTCCCTTGTTAGTGGACTGTGCATATTTATATGAATATAGATTCTTGTAAACTAATTTTAAAAAACTAGAAACAAATACAAATTTATTTACTTATATAAGCATACTCACTGTGGTTATGACTGTAGACATAATAAAAATAAATAACATTCCATAGTAATATTATTATTTTCCATTAGGATATACGATTTATTATAAAATATGTTTATAAATAACTTTTTACTTTTTAGATACCTATTTCTCTGAGAATGCTTTGCTACCAGGATTGGTAACTAAAGAAAGTAACTTGGAGCAGACATCAAAACAATATTATCACGAATTGATCCATGAAATGAAACGTTATCCGGATACAATGCCATATGCTTGGCTAGCAGCTAAATTGAACCAGCTTCAGTTGGATGTTTATATACATAATTTCTCCTTAATACATCCATTTCAAGAGCAAAAAGTAATTATGATGTGAACAATCTTTTTTAGCTGCACTCAATAGGTTTTTTTGAATATTTTTACACTCTTAAATATTTATATAAACTGGTAGTACAGGAAGCAAAATGTAAAATTAAAATAGAGATATAGAAATCTGTAGGATTGTAGAATACACTTTTTATCCGGACGAATTATCGAAGGACACGTGATTTTTACAAAACGGCGGTAATAAGGAATAATTTTCGCCAGTTTACAGGACAGAATATATACGGAATTATAAGAGCTCCGAGGGCAGCCAGTACAGAAGCAATTATAGTCAGTGTTCCCTTTAGACCAGTTAATAGTATTTATTTAGACACTGCCCCATCTGTGGCTCTTCTTCTCGCATTTGCCAAATTTTGTAGAAGTATGTAATTTTAATATGAAACGATAAGTAGAGCATTAACAGAATAAGTCTTAATGTTGGAGACTAATGAGTATTTCTAATTTTAGAACAGAAGTATTGGGCCAAAGACATTGTATTTGTAATAACAGAACATGAACAATTAGGCATACAGGCTTGGCTAGATGCTTATCATGGAGTTACAAGTGGTAACGGAGTACTTATCTCTGGAGATCTTGCTGGTCGTGCCGGTTCCATTCAAGCAGCTATCAATTTGGAATTACACTCAATGAAGGTTTCATCTATTGATGTTAAAGTACGTTATAGTTTTTATTTTGCTTATTAATTGCTCTATTTTATTAAATATATAAATATATTTTCATTGTGAAATCCTAGGTAGAAGGATTGAATGGACAACTGCCCAACTTAGATCTATTTAATCTAGCACAGAATATGATCGCTAAAGGAGGAATCAGACATTCGTTTCAGAAGCGTTTCGACGTTAAATACAAGGATAAATTTAAAAATTGGTGGTATCACTTTAATACACTCATTATGATGATTGCGACTCAGGCTACTGGGATTCCAACAGGAAATCACGGACTTTTTCACAGGTACTGAACGAAATATAGCAGGAATTTATAGAATATAAGATACTTGTATGGAACTTTATTTAAATTTTATATAGTTTAATATCTCTCTTTATATAATGATATCACTGTAGGTTCGGAATTGAAGCAATCACTCTGGAAGGTTTTGAGAAGCCTGGACAACAAAATTCTTATGAAAATTTTTATCAAGTAGGCCGTATAGTCGAAAGTATAATTCGATCGCTAAATAATTTATTAGAACGCTTTCATCAGTCTTACTTCTTCTATCTACTTCCATCGACTGATACTTACATTTCTATTGGTAAGCAAAGACTTCTATCTGAATAAAAATATAATTTTTTAGACGTTTTTAGAATTTTTTAAACGTTTCCTTTCTTGAAAAAAAAATGATTATGAATATAAAATAGTTACGAATTACAATAATTTCAGGACTCTATATTAAGTCCTTGGTTTTAATTATTGCTGGAGTGTTTATAAAAGCATTTTCCATGTGGCAAAGACTTACTGCAGAAGTATCTACTTCTGCAGAAAATAAAAAGAGTACAACTACTAAACAATCAAAGGTGTGTTATATTTATTATGCTTATTTTATGGAAATGATTCGTAGATTATTTATTAATAGTTGAATATATATAAATTATACACGAACAGAATTATTATCAATATACTACATTATTTATTTTAAAAAGAGATCATTAATATAGTGCATTTTACAGAACGATGGATTTGATATTGGAACTATAACTTCCGAGATATTATGGGCACACATTTTTGGTGTCGTAATTGTTTCATCCCCTAGTGCATTAACGTACATTGGTAGACAAACATGGAATCTACGTACAGAAGATTCTATATATTTTGGTTTTGCAGCAATAACTATTTTAACATTAATATTGCCACTATATCCCAGAAGGTAATCGAAATGTTAATTACAATATTAATTTAATAACGTTTCGGAATGTATATCATCGTAGATAATATGCTATACACAGTAATTTATTTTTAGGCGAATAAAGTATAAGAATGCAGCTTTAGTTTGTGTAATTGCATCAGTGGAACTGGCCACTGTGTTAATGTGTATAGCAATGCACAATTTTTCATTAGCCCTCGTTGCTGCTATAGTTTATGTACCTGCGATTTTACCAATTACACCAAAAGAAAAGTCTGATGGCAAGTAAGTATATCTTTAAGAAGTTTATTCCTTCGAACTCTTCTACAAGTAAACGTTTATATTTCCTTTAAATTATATAAAATTATATTCCACGCCATTCGTTGCAATCTCTATTCTTAAGCGGTATCTTTTTATATTGTAATTTTTTGTTTCAGATGTCGCACTATACTGTCATTCTTCTGGATTCTTTTGCATCCATTTGTGATCTCAAATCTTCTCGTAATGTGTTACACGTACATAAACTTCTCCACGGATCCATTCCTCTCAATTTTGTTTCGTGGATATCATGCCACGAAGCAGTCATACGTTTTCAGTATTATGGACTCGATGATATACGGAAACTGGTTTTACAATGTAACTGTCTCTACAATACTTCCTATATGGCTTCTGTTTTGGAATATTTTGTGTTCGAACAGTGTGATGCATACGTAACACGTGTGAATTACTTTGTGCCACGAGAATAATAATTAATACAGTTAATCGACTATAACAGCATGTAAGCTTTCCTTGGATGAACATAGCTATGCTCTGCCTAGAGTATCCACAGACAGTATAATTATAATCGAAATGCAATACCTCCCAGATTAAAGTCCGCGATTTGGGCCCACCTATAAACACTCTCGCGAAGGTAGAGCTCTTTTATGACTAGACTGCGGATTTTTGGCATTTATAGCATACCCAATTGTCTAAAATTCAGTATATCGAGAAATTCAATAAATTTTAGTACAGTTTGCATTTTATGTGAGACCTGACAGAACTTTCGATGCAATACAAACATTTCTGTTTGTTTCTAGTTTCTATAAATAAATCTTTAAAAATTGGTATTTGCATAAAGGTCCGCAATTTATTTATTATCTTTCGCGTGATGAGGAGAGTGCATAGGGCTCACCAAGAGCGAGTGATACGGAGTCCCATTTTCTTTATGCGAGGTTTGAAAAAAAAGTGGTAGGAATGATTGTGGACACTCAAGATAAAACTAGTCGTAACAATTAAACGTCGACGTGCATTTATAACATGTTAAAAGTAATAATTAATTTTCATAAGTTAGTTTACAAAAATAAATGCCATAAATGCGCAAAATCCGAAGTCTAGGTAATTTATATAGAATAGGGTCCACCTCGTCGATGTCAATGACCTTGATATGTGTTATGAAGGTTAATGTTCTGAGTAATTTTATGTATACATATAATCGCCGCTCAGCTTTAGTTTCAAAGATTACACGAAAGTATTTCTTCATAACTGTGTATTGTATTGTTTAATATATATGTATGTATAAATTTGAAGGACCACTGTTAGTAGTTTTCCATCTTACCAACAGATGGCCAAAATCTAAGTCACGCCTCCACAGACTTTCTTGGACTTTCCCATCGAAATTTGTAAATAATATCCTTTGTTACGCGTTTCCACGCGAAAGTTCCGTTTGAAAATGTCTCTTTAACCGTAAACATTTGGCGTCCTACGTTTGGACACAATAAGTGCGATATTGATTCTATCGCAACAGTCGTAATTACATATTCAGTTACAGTCGTATTAATTTTCAAAGTATGGCAACTGGAATTATTATTATGTGACATATTCTCGCGTTTGTGTAGGAGAATCGTATAATTGTTACTAAATTTGCTAACTGAATTTTATTTGAAATGTGCAACTATAATAAATAGCATATAATTAAAAAAGGGCAATTTTTGTATAAAAATGAGTAAAAAATATGTACTTATACCTAATTGTGTTAAACACATTACATGTAGAGTATTGAAATTATTTCGAACATTAAGTTTTAAATTCAGAATCATATTTTAAAATTACTCAGTGCTGTGATATCGAATCTAATACTTGTGTGTAGTTTAATTCTCAGTTTTGTTACTTCACATTAAAGACAACGCTGCAGTTTTTAGTGTATATGCTTGTAGTTCAAGAATGTCTTTCTCCAATCTAAAAATATAGTAATATATAATTGAAAGTACCGTAATCTGATTATCAAGAGCTTCCACATCAAATTTCATACCTTTTCTGAAGATCTTTAATATCTTCATAAGTGTTTAAAAATTCTTTAATACCATTATTAACACCTAGATATGATTCATTCTCCGAACCAATTAAATCCATAATAGACTTTAAAGTATCACGGCTGGATTTTAGTACTTTCAGTGTCTCTTCCCATTCTTTGGGTGTCTCAGGAAGAATTACATTATCACAATGTAGTACATCATGATCTCGTAAAAGGGTATACAACTGGGATAAAATACCTTTTAGCTTACTAATACTCTCAAATTCTTCAATTAAAGTAAAAATTAATGTGGTTTTTTAAGGGAATGACTACTAAAATTATTTCAATGATACAAATGTCGACAAATATTACTTACTAATACATTTTATATCTGCAATTTGTGAGTCTATTTCATTCTGTAACTTAGTTGAATGTATTATATCTCTCTCTCTAGTTTTCAATTCGAATAACTTTTCCTTATTGTGATCAATTTCTTTAGCCATTGTTGCCAGTTGTGATACAATTAATTTCTCCATCTCCTGCTTTTTTTTCTTTAAAATAATTTCTGTCATTAAGTTTTGTAAATATTCGTTGTATAGAAGTTTCAGCTCTACATCCTCATTGTCAGTACTTTCCTCTATGGTTTGCTGTGAGACCATCGACAATCGATCGGTTGCATGATTCTTTAGATGATCTGTATTAATGAAGTAATAAATATTTTGTATATTCTGAAAGTTCATTTTATTAAGAAATTCAAGCAAAATTCCTTACTGTGTGGTAAGGCAAAATCACTTGAATTCATTGTTGACCTGTGTCGAAAGTGGGTTTGACGAATGGTAGCTGATGTGTTTTGTCTCTCCGGTTCCATTACAGAAGCATTAAGTAACCTAGAAGTATCCAACAAATGTTAAATAATAATTGATAAGAAAATATAAAATGTTTCATGTTTACCTTCTAATTCGATTCTTTTTTGGTGGTTCCATGTTATCTGTTTACGTCTTTTACTATATTGATATTATTTTTCCTACTTCACTACAAAATCGTTCGTTATATATCTTGATACTGTTAATGGTTATTTACATACAATCAGTATAAAGAATGTTCAAATCAGATGGGAACTTAATGTAAGAAACCACACAATAATGTCACGAAATTGGCAGTTAAATTTTAACTGTTAAAATCGTTTTGAATAATTTCCTGAGATCAGTGTTGCCGGTGTCGCCCTCTGAGGGTATTTATTATATTTGTAATTACTGAACGGACTGATAACTGATAACAGTCATACTGATTGTGAGCAATTGTGAGTCTATTGACAGAGTTGTTGAGATTTCGATAATATGAACAATTACATAGTTGTACACTGAATTGCATTTTTATCGTATTAACGATTAATATATTTGAGGATTTTTTTACAGGACATGACTATAATATCGTCATTAATGATTTACATAACGTAACATATATGTAGTATATACCCAATATAATATTCTTTGGGAGTTCCATACCGCCGAATATTTGTCTTGGTTTCGTCACTGAAACAATTAAAAGATTTTCAACAGTCGAGATCATGGGGTTAACATCACCGGGTTTGATTCATTTGCGGATAATATCAAGTAATGTCTCAGACGAACTATTAGAAATCGGTTCAATAAATACATGTTTGCTTGAACGCTTGATGCTACAAAAGATCCATTGTCCGGTAATTAGCTGTCCTTTATTATATTTCCGCTTGCCAATCTTCGCTTCGTTGATCTCCACAATTATTGTATATATAACAGGTTATGCTGCAGGATCTGCTGCCAATCTGCTTCACAATTCTGTCAGCAGACTCTGCCTGCAAAACTCAAGCAAAATGCGGAAATCGATAGCTATGGATTTTTAGACAGATTTTGTCAATATCTGTTGCCAATCTACTGCCAATCTACGTGCAAATTGTTTATAAGGTACATAAAATTACTCCAGACCAGGAGATTGACCTTCATAAGATATTTCAAGGTCATTGAAATCGACGAGGTGGACCCTATTCTATGCATATATACAGCGTGTGGCCGAATAACATGTACAAGCGGGTACGAGGTGATTCCTTATGAAAAAATAAAAACAAAATATGGAACAATCGACTTTGAAAATTAATCTGAAACACGCGTGTATTCACCATAGTAATAAGTAGAAACGGAATGCAATGAACAGACGCCCTAGCGGCGCTAGCACAGTCCTATTCAATTGCTCCCGTATCTAGCAGATTTTCAAAGTCGTTTTTCTTGAAAACTAAGCCTTAAATGGAAAAAGTTTACTCCATATTTTATTCTTATGTATTTATAACGAATCACCTCGTACCCACTTGTATTATTCGACCGTACCCTGTAAATATAAATATATATATATATATATGTTTGTAATGTTTATATGTATACCAGATATACTATTTAGATCTTACAATTAGACATTTCTTCTACAGAAAGGTAAATGATAATCCAGACAGCTAACATGTGTTTTTAAAGGAAGTAAATATATTTAATAACAAGTATAGTAATCTTGTCTACTTATTTTTTGTTATTACTTTTTCTTTTCATAAGTATGACATAAAATAGGACAATAATGTCTTCAAGTTCGTGCCGCCATTTTGATCGTTTCCGTGGAAACCATGAAAACAAACATACATATGAAAACAATGTCAACGATATCTTGAAATTACATTGAAAAATTGCTTCATTGTTGAAACATAAACAATGAAGGCTGTTCCAACGTGGGTCGACAAAGTTCAAGAGAAATCAGAATGGTGATGATCTCAAAAAATATTTTCTATAATGAATTTATGACATTGCTATTTAATAAAGTTTTGAATAAAATAAGAATCGAAATTATTTTTATATTAAACAGTTACGCTATTTCAAGTAATAACGTTTTAATGGCAACCTAAACATATGCAATTTTATTTCATATTTCTTTTCTTTTACAAATTCTATACTGTATCACTTATTGTTTAATGTTTTGTAATGTTCATATTTAAACTGGATTACTTCAGTTTAGCTATGCCTTCTCATTTGTGATAATGAAACCAATACTAATATATGTAAATGTTCTAGTATATACGACTTATGTTTTAACCCTGATGGGACACAATTAGTTGTTGCTGCTGGACAGCAAGTTCTTGTGTATGAGACCAATGAAGGTGCTTTGATTCAGCCGTTAAAAGGTATATTAATTTCCAGTAGTTTAATAATGTAAGAAGGCTTAAATTATATTTTTATTTATGTTTTACAGGTCATAAAGATATAGTTTATTGTGTATGTTATGCAAGAGACGGTAAAAAGTTTGCATCCGGAGGTGCAGACAAAAGTGTTATCATTTGGACGTCCAGATTGGAAGGCATACTGAAATATTCGTGAGTTACTGTCTTTAAATAACATATAAGTTGGTCCAATGAAATTTGTTTTCTGTTAGGAACTTGTATAAAATATAATGTTATTGTTTCAGACACAATGAATCTGTTCAAGCTATGCAGTTCAATCCAATCTCACATCAACTTTTGAGTTGTTCTTTATCTGATATTGCTTTCTGGTCTCCAGAACAAAAGTCAGTTGTGAAACACAAATCAAAGGGACGAGTGAATTGTTGTGCTTGGACAAGTGATGGTCAATACTTAGCCATAGGATTGGCTACTGGCTATGTTTACATTAGAAACAAGGTTTGTTTTCATTATTTTTTTTTTAAACTGCTGTACATTATTACATGCGTTGTATTGAGAAACTAAAGAAAATCTAATCTTTCCTAATTTGTAATATTCTTTTAATTAGAAAAGCATGGAATTTAAATTATAGCTAACAGATAATCAATGGAATCTTTCAATTTTCAATTTTCATATTATAGAATGGAGAGGAACATATGCGTATTGAAAGACAAAGCGGAGTTCCTATATGGAGTTTGTTGTGGAACCGTGAATGGTAATATAATTATATTATTTTATTGTGCGTTATTTTTATATATAACAGCAAATGTCTGTGTTGTTCGCAGGGAAAATTCAACAGACACCCTTTGCATTGCAGAATGGAATGGAACCATATCGTTTTATTCGATTGCGGGGAAGCCAGTTGGGAAAGATAGATCATTGAACTTCATTCCCCTTAAAATGTGCAGCTTTGCTGGAGATCAGTATATTTTAGTTGTGGGAAGTAATAAGCAATGCATATTAATGACATACGATGGAATACAGTTAATCAATGTTGGTGGTACATTTTCTTCTTGGGTTTGGAGTTGTGCGACGAATCCAACATCTACGCATATTGTAAGAATTCGCTTCAGAATCAGACTTGTAATTAAAATTGCAGAATTTTCTTCTACACATTTTATTATTTTTTGCATACCTATATTCTACTTTAGGCATTAGGTTGCCAAGATGGTACAATAACGTATTTACAATTATCATGGAATGTTGTGCATGGATTATACGGAGACAGATACGCATATAGGAAAAATATGACGGATGTAGTAATACAAAATTTAATTACTGCTCAAAAGGTTCGAATCAAATGTAAAGATCTGGTAAGTAAAGCCCGTGTTTATATACTTAGGGTTTTTGAGGTGTTCAACAATTTTTGTGTTTACTTTCAGGTTTCGCGTATAGCTGTATATAAAAATAGATTAGCAGTTCAATTATCTGAACGGGTAATAATTTATAAACCATCCAATACCAACGATGAAATGCATTACCGTATATGTGAAAAATTAAATCAAGCGCTGCATTGTAACTTATTAGTTGTGACGGCGAATAATTTAATTTTATGTACAGAAAGAAGGTTACAGAGTTTATCTTTTAATGGAATAATTGAAAGGGAATGGATACTCGACGCTTTAATTACTTACATAAAAGTTGTTGGTGGTCCAATCGGACAGGAATGTTTAATTGTAGGTGAGTATTATATAAATTTAAAAATGAATGAAAAGTAATACTTTATTTTACGAGTTCACATTTGTATTTTTATAATTGATTTGTCTGACGTACTCGTTCCTTTTATTCATCTATAGGTTTAAATACCGGTTACATAGTAAAAATATATTTAGACAATCCCTTCCCAGCGCATTTAACAAAAATCGAAGGCTCTGTACGATGTCTCGATATCAGTTCACTGAAAGAAAAACTTGCAGTTGTTAGTGACCATGGAGTTCTTTATGTGTACGATTTGTACACGGAGGAAAAACTTCAAGAGTTCCAAGATGTGAACAGTGTAGCATTTAATAGTAGTTTCGAAGACATAATGTGTTTCATGAGCGGAGAGTGTTTAGTGATTAAAGTAGGAAATTTTACTGAATACAGACAAAAGTGTTCTGGATTTGTGGTGGGTCACAATGGATCGAAGGTTTACTGCTTAAATGGATCCTGTATCGTTACAGTGGAGGTGAGTCAGATTTAAATATTCAGAAATTCTAACAGAACAGAAAGATCGGACGTATTAATCTCAAATTGCGTATATACACAGGTGCCTTTATCGTTATTTATGTATCAATACTTGGACATTGGTCTCTTCTCTCATGCTTACAATATAGCGTGTCTTGGGGTAGCAGATTCAGACTGGTTCGCTCTTGGTACATCTGCTTTGGAAAATTTAGAATTGAATACAGCATACTCCGCCTTTGCTAGAGTGAAAAACTTAAGGTACATAGAGATTGTATCCGAAGTGGAAGAGAAATTGAAATCCGGTGAGTGGGGAAGAGAGGCGTGCATGGCCACTGCTGCAGCAGCAATGGGAAAGCTGAAGGAAGCTGCGAAACTGTATCAAAAAGCCGGCTTGCAGCAGTACGCGTTAAGCATGTATTCGGATTTGCGTATGTTCGATATTGCACAAGAATTTATTGTTAGTGGGAACAGCCAGGTTAGTAAATAGTTTCATCTCTTAAATAATTTTCTATTCGGTCGATTGACACGGGTAATACAGTCCGAGAATAAAATTACTGCTTACGAATATGTTAAAAACTTGTTTCATTTCATTGTTACGAAAGAAGGAAACAAACATATTGAGAAAGTAATACTTTATTTTACGAGTTCAGAAATTTTTTTTTAATAATGTTTCAAGGATCGTACGATATTACTCCGCAAAAGAGCAGAATGGGCGAAAAGTCTTGGGGAACCTCGTGCGGCAGCTGAAACGTTTCTATCAGCGGGAGATGTAGATCGTGCCATCAATATAATTGCGGAGTATGGTTGGATCGATATGTTGATCAAAGTTGGCAGACAACTCGATAAATCAGACAGAGACAATTTGACGATTATTGCTAAGAAATTAAAGAAATTAGGCGCGACACATGGTGCTGCCGAAATTTTTGGTCGCTTGGGAGATGATCCTGATGTTGCGGATGTCTTGGTAGACGCTCAAGCTTGGCCGGAGGCTTTTGAATTGGCTGAAAGGAATCCAAAATTGAAAGCAAGGATATATGGACCATACGCCAGGTGGTTGGCAGAAACTGGTCATTTTTCTGAAGCGCAAGAAGGTAAATGTCATTATCTTGCTAACATTTTTTTAATTACGTATTATATCTCTTTTTAGCATTATTATAATTATTAAAATATTAACAAACACCGTTAAGAAGAAACATAGTTTGTCGTTGTTTTTTACACAGTTTTTTAGCGTTTCAGATAGCAGGACAATCTGAAGAATCTGTGATGGTCTTAACAATGCTAGTGAAAAATGCAGTTACCGAGAAACGATTTCGCGACGCTTCTTATTTTTACTGGCTACTTTCTCAAATTAGTTTAAATCTGAACAAAAGCACGGATGAATTACAAAGGCTGTTTTTACAGTATCATGAAAAGGCCGATGTTTACTATGCTTATCACGAGATACACAAATACGTTGTAAGTAGAAACATTGACGAAGTATTAATTAATTTACATTGTCTCGGAAAGCTGTTTTGTAATATCAAGTGTTAAAGGTATATTGTTTTACCATAGTATGACAGCGACTTGTTTATTGTAATTCCGATTTTTAGGAAGAGCCGTTCACGTCGTTAATGCCGGAGGCTCTTTTCAACATTTCGCGATTTCTATTAACGAAGACTCAGCATACTCAAATAGAAGGAATTTCAAAGTTCACCATAATGTATACCTTACTGAAGCAAGCTTCCTTGCTTGGTGCAAATAAGTTGACGATGCAGTTACTTGAAAAGCTACGCAAAACAAAAATTCCAGCCAGTCAACTTGGCCAATTGGAAACGTCGAATTTACTGGCTCGAGCCTCCCCTTACAGGGATCCTGAAGAGCTTTTACCTCTTTGTTACAAATGTTCAACTTTTAATCCTTTATTGTCGCCGGACCATCAAGGACAATGTGTACAGTGTAAATTAAAATTTCAGTATTCCTTTGTAATGTTCGGTAAGTTCTCGATATTTTAATGATTCCTTGCTCTATAATAATATCGGGATATTTCTAAGTGACATAAAAATTTCAGAGATTCTGCCCTTAGTCCAATTTGAATTGGAGGAAGGTATTTCAGACGAAGAGGCGGAAAAATTTATAAATGAGTCATTATCATTATCCGATAATACGGTGGATAACGATCAACTCACCATTGCTCCTGAAGTAGACTTGTTTACTGCACGTTTAATGAAGTATGAGGTATTATCGTGTACAGGGTGGCCCCAAAGTCATTAGACCATTTTAAAATATAACTTTTTAGAAAGAGCCCGCCACTGTCAAGAACAAAATGGTGGCCATTTGAAGGACATTATCTACAAAACTAATTAAAAATAATTACCAAGAAGTATATTTATTATAAAAGTTGTTTAATAAAAGCATAAATGTGAATTTTAAATACATAAAAGAGTTATTCTATTTTTAAATGGTTTAGTGACTTTTGGGTCACCCTATACTTAATTTTCATAAGTTAATCTCTTATATTGGGTGTCCACGTAAGTACCACCACGGAATTTGACGACTTCTACAAAAATTTATGTCAGACAGACGTTGAACTATATTTAAGTGTGCATAAGTTTTGTAAAAAATACTATCGTTTCATTTAAAAAACAAAGATAACATCCATATTTCCAGAAGAAGTGCACATCGAAAAACTCATGTTCACGAAAGGTATGCACACTTACATGTAGTTCAAGTTTTGTCTAACACAATTTCTTGTAAAATCGGGGAAAGTCCTGAAGTTTCGTGGCGACACTTACATGGGATACCATGTATGTGTGACATTTTTACCATTTATTCTTTTAGTCACTTATACTTAATTCGATATTTTAGGAGAAGTCGAGTACTTCTACCATAATTGTGGGAAGAAACGTTTTGAAGAGTATGGATCCATGCACTGTATTAATCATAAAATGGCCGAAACCGTTCAAAACACGTTATTTTAAAAATCTATTGCCCGATTTACAAATTACGTTTTGCAAATCTTGTCTGAAGGTACGAAAGTAATCCACAATTATTTATATAATTATGTATATAATTATTTATATATTTATGGTTTATAGAAAATAATTATTTTCTGTTATTCTTTTCAGCTGTTTCATTTAGATGATTACGAACTGGCTTTATTGCGATACGGGCATTGCCCATTTTGCAGAACAGTAAATAAATTTCTCGATTAAAATTTCTCTATTACTATGAGCTACGTATAGTCGTAGAAAAACTATATGATAAAATTATTGGATATTCTATATTTGCGAAATATTCGATATTTTAAGCATGTACAACTGCATTTGGCAAATTACTTTTAATATACTTTTTTTAGCTTTATTTAAGACCGATATGTCCGAAAATCTCGCTGACAGTTACTTTTGTGCAATAAAAATAATTTACAATATGTAAGATACATTACTATTTCTTTTTTATGTGTATACAATGTTAATTTTTAAATATTCACGAAGAGGGTACCACATTAGACAATATAATAAAGAAAGCGTAAAATAAAATTAAGGATATATACAAAATCGTAAATTTAATTTTTGCAGTCTTATTATGAACTGAACTTGTTCTCTGACAGGCAAATTGACAATACAGTTATGTAAGCATGGGCGAACATTAAGAGTTCGTCTTTCCGTGAGTGCTAATTGTTCTGATTCCTTCGGTACCGTTAAACGAAATCTTCGAGATGATCGCGTCTGTTTCGGCCAGTTGTAATTCCAAAGATGTTGTGTGTAGTTTCGTTCATGATTTTCCTTTTCGGAAATTCCGCCATCTGTCAAATCATCCGGTTGGATAATGATGTCGCCGCAGATGTCCGAGATTCAAATATTCGCGGAAGATGTGAGTACTGTTATAGCGGGAAAAATATATAATGTTGCCGTTAAAAATATTATATTGATAAAATCTCGAAAACGTTCTGGAATAATATTGCATTTCGTAATATCAACAAAACGAATTTTATTATAATTGCTGACTGGAATATTATTAGCACAGTATTTACACATTGCATGGAACTGTTATTTTTCTGCATCATTAAAACGTACAAATTGTTTGCTGTATACGGTTTCATAATTTATTTAATACGATTTCTTGTTTCAAATAAATCAACTTCTTCTCTAGTGTAAATTGTGACAAAATGATCGAATGAATTTTTAAACAGTTTTCCCGCTGTTCAGTGTTGTCCGTTTTGCAAATTCGGAATGCCTGGCTAGCAACAATTTAAATGGCACCTGTTTCACCAGAAAAGAATGCCGTGACTATGGTGGGACTGCCTCTGGTAGTTGCGCGAATGGACATGGTATTTGCTGTGTCTGTGAGTAATTAAATTATCGAATTTATTTCTGAATTTATAATTAATAAACCGTTATTTCGACTCAACATGTTTGTTATTTTTATAGTTCAAAAATCATGCGGGTCCACTACAAACGTGAACAATACGTATTTCACAAATCCAGAATATCCAACCACTTATGACGGAGCAGGACGATGTACAATAACAGTGCAGCGTTGTAATTCGAATATATGTCAGGTATGTATTTAATAAAAATATAGCATTAAACGTGTCTATCAATTTATAGATATATGTTCCCAATAATCAAATATATGTTATTGAAACGTTTATTCCAGTTACGCCTGGACTTTTTGGAATTTAATCTTGCCTCGCCAAATGCCAGCGGAATTTGCGATTATGATCTTCTTTTAGCTTCTGGATCATCGACGTCTGTGCCTCGAGTTTGTGGAGAAAATGCAAATCAACATGGTAATAAAGAAAAAAAAGTATAAACACGATGATGCATCGTCGAATATTGCATGGTTAATCATTTTTAAGACAGTTGTATTCAAATGATATAACGTAAAAGAGGATCGTTAAAATTTTCAGTATATGTGGATTTTAATGACGCGACACCGATTATGTTATCAATCGACACGAATTCCGAGTATTCTACAGAACGTCGTTGGAATGTAAGAATTCAGCAAATACCATGTGACGCCACTTACAAAGGTATATGTGTATTTTAACGCTATACTGTTTTCAATAAATGCTTCTAATATATTTCATATTTTTCTTGCAGCACCAAACGGATGTTTACAGTATTATACCGGTGTTTCAGACGTCGTTACAAGTTTCAATTACGGCACAACACAGAATCCAAGAGGTACTTGTGTCGATCGCTTTAATTCGTCGAGATACATGGTATAAAATAAATTGCGGGGAAATGTTCATTAATTAACGATTTTTTGTCTTATAGCACCAGAAATTGGTACACGACAGATAGCAAATACAAATTATGGTGTATGTGTAAGAATGGAGCAAGGGTATTGCGCCATAGAATGGTCGCAAACAACGCCAAATTCATTTTCTGTTTCCGGAGATACAGGCTCCTTTGATTCTACTATAATAGGTAAATTATAACATAAGATTTTTACTTTTTCTGATCCATGGTGCACATAACGGTAAATATCAGTTATTAATGACGACAATAATAACATTGTTAATTCTTAATTAGGTACCGAGTTTGCAGCAGAAGCAGGAACAAATTGTACTAAAGATTTCGTTATCATTCCACATCCATTTCAGAACGGTATGGCAGTTGGTGCGGAACGATTTTGTGGTAACGGCTTTGTGACAAAAACATGTAAGTATACTGTAATGTCGTTGTACATTTGTTTTTTCTATCGTTCATGTATTCTTATCGCTATTTTCTAAAAAAAGAATGTTTATACGTAAAAATGAACTATCTTCTTATTTTAGCATATTCAAAACCGTTTGTATTATACGTTGTCACAGACGGAGATGAAATAGGCGAAATTGAAAATAAAGGATTCTCATTGACGTATCGTCAAATACCTTGTGCGGTTTAATTTAAGAAAATTCGATAATTTCGTGTAAGACTTAGTTATAGCATTGGAATTAATAAATAATAAATTTCTTACATTCTTATGGCACTTCTTTAAGATATAACGGTAATCCAACAAACAGAAGTACCATACTTTTCCCTTAGTTTTACCATACTTTTATATTGTTCTTCAAACTTAAATAGAATGAGAATTTCTTTTTCAAGTTTAAACAATTCGTTTTAAACAGTAGATATACAAGCAATAGCATATTCGTGTTTTCATTTTATTTACTTAGTACTACATGCATTAATACTACATATTATATATATATATATAAAATAAATTATAAAATGCAATTGTGTGTTTAACTTTTTACAATAACATAATTGAACGAATCAATACTTCATTGTTCGATTCACTTGAACGTAGTGATTTTAATGAAAATGAGTCAAGTAACAGATTTAAAAGAAATTAATAATTACATTACTTAGTTAACCAAGTATCTACTACCAGAATGAGTATCCACTTCTTTCATCATAGCACTGTACCATGCGTCAAGTTTTGTGTTATTTAAGACATCTTGGAAAGCATTACACCCTTCTATACTCTTCAAAATTCCATAAACAGCAAGATCTGCTAAGTTCGGCGTTTCTCCTCCCATAAAAGTGCCACCGCGCTGCTTTATAGCTTTTAACCATTTGTTAATGTCATCATAAAGAGACTGCCGAACATCCTCTTTAAGACTGTGCCTTTTCTTTAGACGTTTTGAAATCATCCACATAGCTACAGCACCCACATTTATCATTATAAACCTTTCCCACGTAGGGAAATATTCTTCCCATTTACCAACCTGGTAAAGAAAAATCAATTAATTTTCATTTGTGGTTTCAAGAAAATTAGAATAGTTCATAGTATCAACTACTGTATACATTTTATGTTTTTAATACTTATATATTATTTTATATACTATACGAAGAAGCACTGATTTATCTTTTCATCATAGGTATACTTTCAACAGTGCTTCCCGTTTTAATTTAGATTCTACTTATACAATGACTAAATATTGTGAACGCACATACTTGGGAAAACCAGTTAAACGTATTGTAGGCTTCATCGAGTGTTCTATATACATTCGGTGACAGGGTATGAACAAGCGAATCGTCAGCCCATTGTCTCCACTTACGTTCTTCCCTGAAAATATAAACGTAGTTGCACTCTATGATTCCTTTTTTACTGGTAAACAGCTCTAATTCATATAGAATGCTGTAAAGAACTTAAGCGATACAACTTTGGAAATTAAGAAATCCGAAATAAGAATTTTATAAAACAGTTTCGAATTATTAGTCGTAGTACCTATACTGATTCTAATTTTGATTTTCATATTAACCCTTTTAATTGCATGGGTTGATTTGGACCGATTCAATTCACGTGCGAAAAATCTTTCTCGCTGATATCTGCCAATTATTCGACGCTAGTTTTAAAACGAAAACGTTTCTGTTTAAAATCAATAGATGGTTCTAGATGTCTATTTCGACGTTCTTTTGTTATTCTATAGTTACTCTATTCTAACAATAGATAGGCGTTTTGTACCAGAAGTAAGAGGGTTAATTTCAACATTAATAAGCAGCATTAAAAAGAATAAATTATTAATAAATGCAGCAGTAGGTCAGATCACATAAAGTAACTCACATAACACCATCAATGGTGGTCTTTTCTGGTAAAGATTCCATATACATCAGATAATATTTATTCATAATTTCGTATTTCAACTTATCATTTTTATCGTGCATTGCAATACTTGGATAATAGTCTATTAGTTCTTCAATTTTTTGTGACTTGTCCTTCAGGTGTGACGACACGAGCGAAATAATCATAGAACTGTCGTTCAAAGGCTGATAACCAGATTTCGTTTTAGTTAAAAGTATTGGTACTTTTCTATAAGGTGACCATGATATTTCTTTTCTTAATACTGGATCTACTTCCACAACATCATAAGACAAACCATAGTAATCCAAGAAGACTCTGACCTAAAATTTTGTATCTATAAATTCTACTGCAATTACAGAGTCCTGTTATTATAAACAATAAATAGCTGAATCAAGCATTTTATAAAATTTTTTTCATTTAAAACTTATCAAGTTGGTTTGGATATTTTACCTTGCAACAAAATGGACATGTTTGATATTGAAAAAGGGTCAATTTCAATCCACTTGTGTCTGTTGGTGAAATAATCTGAAATAAAAATTAATGTTTATGTGAATACAGATAATTATGTAAGCAGTAAAGCACTGAACAAAAATTGACATATTAAACAATATATGTATAGTTTTAAGTTAATAATTACACTTTCAATATTTCATAGAAATATAGATTTTATGGACTAATTTGCAGAAACTGGAAATGAAGATAGATTTATCCTCTAAAGGATTTTATCTGATTACAGAAAAAAACTACAAAATTTGAACTTCTTACTATACACAGGTTTAGACAATTATGTATACTGTAAGTGCATGAAATCTGCAAGTCTATTTATCGCGTATAGACGCACAGTGAAGTCGACAAATAAAATTAACATTTCACTTAATTATTATCGCATTCGACAAACCTTTCTTGAAACTGGTACTTGTGGTTTTTCTTTCAATGCTTCGAATTTCTGTTCTTTCCCTTCAAGATGATACGTTTTAGAACTTTGTATACTTGAATAAATGGAATAACCTGCCGTGGTAAGCACCCCAACAGAAACTCCTATTAGACTTGCTTTTAATATAGTTCTTCTTGAGGATTCTCGAGCCGCCGACGAGAAACTTTCGTTTCTTCTTGGACATGTTTGAATGATATGTTTGAAGGAATTTAAATTTTGTGGAAATTTCGACAATTTAATTAGCACAGACATTGCGGCTACTTATCAACTATATTTTATATGCACAATTTCAAGTATGTAAACTAATTATTTTCAAGCTGTCGGTCAACAAATAGTTTCGTTACTTCTGTGACATAACACAACATTGGAAAAAGCCCGACGAAAGGGTTATGTACCAAAAATTGTATACTTTTATTAGTCTCTGTGGAAATAGAATCTTGTTCAAATTGAACTGATCATAACAAATACGTATTATATGATTAATATCGAAACTTCGTTAATACGATATTGTACGATATTCGACACAGTTCGCATATGAATATTCAACTAATTCACTAATTCAACACATTCGTCATAGATTATAGAAATGTACATTACATACATAAATACAAGCATAAGTACGCGAATGGCCAATGGTTGAAAACAGATAAAACCAGATAAAACTTTACACTGCTTTACACAATGTTTGAAAGCCAATGAACAAACGATTTCTGACTTTATCACATGTTGCATAATTGACGCCACAATTCAGTATGGCAAGTTTATTAGGTAATTCCTGGTTTCAAGTCTAATCTCTCGATGTAATATTCTTGTTCTTTGAGAGTAACACAAATCGTGATAGCCGTTTAAATTCTAAAATACCGTCGAAAAATGTCAGAGAATAAGTTGAAGAATGTTACGCATTGTATTTTTGACATGGATGGACTGTTACTCGGTAAGTGATTTAATTTGTTCTATACCGTACGAAGTTGTATTTGCACGCACCGAACTTATATATGTAAAGTGTGGGCGAGTTAAAGATAAAGTAGCTTGACGCAATAATTAGAGAAAAATGTTATAATTTTATTTCAATTTTACGAAATTTGACATCCTTACGAGACGTATACCACCATACACCTCCAATTAACCTGTAGATAAGTTTATATTTATTTTTATGAATATAGTAATTTTGTTTTGTCTATGCACGTGTAGTAATGAATAAAGTCTCAATGGCAATTATTAAGAAATATGAGGAATATATATTAAAATACCCCACACATCTGTATGAGTGGATTCTACTGCTGATGAAAGGGGTAAAAAAGCATTCATCATGTGTGAGTTTGTATGTGCTGTATTTCTAATCTTCCGGCGAAATTTCTAATTAATATACAATTTATAAATCATTATTTAAACGAGTCGATAAATCGATTTTAGTTCTACTGTGTTATCCGTGTGAATAATTATTTTATTAAACTCCTAATAGATACAGAAGCGCTTTACACAAAAGCCTTCAATCGCATTACAAAACGTTATGGAAAGGAATTCACATGGGAGCATAAAGCAAAGATAATGGGCTTTAAAACTATGGTTGTAGCGCAAGCGGTAGTTGATATGTTATCTTTACCTATGACAACAGAAGAATTTGAGAATGAAATAGTTAAAATATATCAAGAATTATTTCCTACTGCTAATCTAATGCCAGGTAATAAATAAATTTTTATATAAAAACTTTAGAAATTTTTCAGTCAAATTGTACCAGTCTATTTTACCTTTTTGTCTTATTTACGATTGAAAATAAAAAAGATTTTGTACAACAACAAGCATAATGAAATTCAGAAAAGAAAAATATTTTTTATAGAAAAGTATTGCTGTATTTAATCTTTTAAGTGTCTTGCAAACAGGTGCAGAAAGACTTTTAAGACATTTAAAGGGGAATAATATTCCTATTGCATTAGCGACAAGTTCGAATAAAGAGAATTTTAAATTGAAAACTCAAAGATGGACTGAAGTGTTTAATTTATTTCATCATAAAGTTCTTGGGAGTTCCGATCCAGATGTTGTTAATGGTAAACCAGCACCAGATATTTTCCTGGTGGCTGCAAAGCGTTTTCCTGACAATCCTGATCCATCAAAGGTTTGTTGCTATAATTTGTAATCTTCTTTAAGATTGTCTTGTGACTAACTGTAATTTATATGTTACACTTTTAGTGTCTTGTATTTGAGGATGCTCCAAATGGAGTAAAAGCTGCACTTAGTGCTGGCATGCAAGTTGTTATGGTTCCAGATCCGATGTTACCAAAAAGCTATATTGAAAACCCAACATTGATAATAAACAGTCTTGAGGAGTTTAAGCCTGAAATGTTTGGTTTACCGCCGTTTAAAGCATAATAGGCAAAGAATATATACTTAACAGGTATATAGTTTGAATATATGCACTTTCATAACTACATGACAGTAAACAATTACAGAAAAGGTAATAGAATTTAATGTTCCAATACTTTTAACAAATATTGACATATTAATAAGTATACAAAAAGAATGCAAAAAATTCTATATTAGTTATGAATATAATAAATCACGAATTTAGATGTTACATTATTTATTTTTACATATAAATATACAAAAATAACTTTTAAGTGTACCCTGACATGTACAAACATGCGAACAAAGTACATCTTCTAAATCGTTATGTAAAGATTTTTCTATTTAAAATTTATATAGAACTAACGATATCAACCAATATAGTATAATCTATTACAAATATTTTACACTTAAATAACAAACATTTCGCAAAAGTGATAAATATTATGAGTTTCCCTTTTTATTTAAAGAACTTGATCACAATCGGCTGTATATATTTTTACTTCAACGTTTCGTTGTTTTTATTTCACTAGTTTAAAATTCTGTGTAAATATTTTTAAAAATATTCATGTTTCAATTGTTATAAAAATCCATGAATAAGTGGAACGTAATCGAAATATAAAAACAGCTAAATTGCTTTCGTATGTAACAAAAATTCTCGAATCTGTAATAAAAGAACAAACATTGTCAATCCAACTGCGTTAGAATTTTAATCGCCCTAAATATTAACATACTAATACACATTGTATGAAACTCACCACATTTCATCGTCTGATCCATCAGATATATCCAGAGTACCCGTATTCAAACCCGTTGATTTATGTTGTGAATTCATACTTGAGAATATTGTATCCAAACATACGACAGAAAATGCATTTCGTCTTAATATCTTTTCCATTGCTTCTTTCAGCAAATCATATGCTGCTCTCATACCTTGTGGGTATTGAGATAACAAGTCTAAAAATGTATTAAATATTAATTTCCTTGCTGTTCTATTTTTCTTTGCTTAAGGGATCTTGGGGATACATACTTTTATATTTCGAGTGACTCACATCAAACAGATGAAGGTAAAAACACATCTGGTTGTAAAGTTTCGTTTCTGAAAACTGTGGTAAGGCAACAGTTGTAGTTTTATACGTAGGGTACGCCAGGGCGGATGATACGAGCGAGAAATTATTCTACATGCAAAAATATGTCGAAATTGTAAAATTAAATTTTTTGTATGACGTTTTGTTTCCGAAATAATCAAATTTTTGAAATTCGTTAAATATATATTTATGTATTTGTTTTAACAATAAGTGTTAGCCTAGTCGTATTCAATTACACGCGTATTTAGCAGATTTTCGAATTTGACTTGTTTCTGCATACAGAATAACTCCAATGTCTGGAGTTATTCTGTCCTTATATCCGTCCTGGTCCACACTGTGTATACATATTTATAAAATTCAAAAGAAATATCTTTTTTAACTTACTACTCTATGCAAATCAGCATCCCCACATTTTCTACAGGTCGGATATTTTCTGTGAAATCCTAATGGAAGTAGCTGTGTTCTTTCACCGCATAATGGATTCTCGCACTCTAACCAACCACTGTAATATTCCGTAATTGCTTCTCGTGCAGCGAGTGTCATTGCATTTTGTATTGCGTTCGCATACGTCCATGGCTGTACTATGCATTCTGGGTTTGAACACGAGGCGAGTGACAATTTATTACCAGTAGGCTGGAAAATAATGTTTTTTCCCAAGAAATGATCGCAACTGGAAGGTTAATATAATACTATGCTTGGAAAAAAGAACATATTTTTGTAACTACTTACCGTCTCTACGACGACATCCTTAAGCATAATTTCCGATTGGCATTTTTCATCTCTACAATTAAATTTCAGTGGAAGACAAAATCGAAATCTATCTTCGTTTACTAATAATGGCACATCGTTGATTCCTTCCTCGTGTATCAATCTCTTAGATTTATATACACCCTCCAAACCTAGTTAAAAATATATGTTATTTATAGTACATGTCTGATAGTTTATAGTATCCGAGATTGAATTCAAATTTCACCTAAATTTTCAGCCAATAAAACATCATCGATTCCTTCAATTGGTTCACAGATTCTCAATGCAATTGGAAATACTTGGCTTAATAAATAGTAATTAACATCGATTTTCAAAGACTCGCTCTTTTTGTACTCGTCAATGTGATACGCTCTCTCAGTTGCAGACTTTTCTGTCCCATCCTAATAGAAAATGAAGTTTCTTTTATAATGTTTATAATGTTCTTAACTGTTTAATGTATAGCATATAATCTCTAAGTTTACAGATATTAATTAATACAAACATCGCATATAATGTATGGAACAGTGTCTCCAGCTTTCCACATTCTACCACCTTCCTTATTTAATCGTAAAGCTACTTGCACATGAGCTTGTTTGGTATCTGGATATTCGTTTGGGTTCTTCGATAATTGTTTTGTAATAACCAACGACGACAGAGAAACTTGATTTTCACGGACATTCTTTGCAACATTTTGTAACATATTAAAAATCTGTTCTAACCGGTTCTCATTCGATTGATTAGAAAGTAACTGATCTAAGATTTTTCTGAAAATTATTAACAACGCCGATAAATGTCAAGTTTGAATTGTTATTATAGCATAAAGTATCATCGATTTTCACTGACTTTCCAACGTCACAGGCTAACTGACACCAGTCTCTCCTCACAATGTCCAAACCTTTATGTTCTTGTATTAACTCTATCTGCCCGGAGGGTAATTTTGTCATCGTAACCGCGGCATACTTCTTCTTTTGTAAAAGTAATAAATAACGAAACACGCCGTCAATGTCTAACTCCACCCGTTTGTATAGTTTGTTTACTTCTTGTTTAATCTAGGCAGTGATTTTATCTTTGAATATAAGTACATAAATATAAATATACGTATTTCTATTAACAGTTTAGTATTTACCTTTTTTCCAACCGCAAAAACCTCCTCGTATTCTATCAAATTAGTATTTATCATTATAGAGTCAGTGTCTCCATATATGACTTCATAATTCAATTTTTCAACAAGATTTTTCGTATTTTGTAGAATTTCTCTGCCTTTTGCTGTTGAGATGTTTGATATGTATGTTATTTTTAATTATATGACGATGCAATTTTACTTAATACTTTACCTGTGACTAGAGCAGCAAGTCCTTTAGCATAAAATCTACAATGGGTTGCACCCAAACAACCATACATGGAATTAGCAGTTAGTTTTAAAGCCAACTGCCTAATGTTATATTGCGTTTTTAATTCAGGTGAAATGTTTGGTGCTTTCATTAATTTCTTCACTTCTACCCTACTCTCAACCAACTTACGAATTTCTGTTGGGATCACTCCAGGCTCCAGATTCGACTCAGGAATTGCTAAATCCTGCGAACATGTGTATTTATTTAAAACTGAATTGAGCCTATTTAATCGATAATTACAAACATATTTACCCCGCTATCAGAATATGCAGCACCAGGCACAGTAGTGAAACATAAATTGTATTCTTGGATTATACTGGGATACAAAGAATTGAAATCCATCAATAAAATCAGCTTGTCATAAAAACCTTTTTTCGGATCAAGAACCAAACCACCAGCGTAAGCTGCTTTCTTTTTTCTAGTATTTTCTAAATAAGATACAATATTGATTATTTTAAAGTAACGTCAAATTCAATGTATTAAAGAATCTTACCATTATTTTCAGCATTTTTCCCCTTTTTTGTTACTCGTTTATCCGGTGTTATGTAATGTTTCAGGTGAAAAGCGTGTAATAACAAGTATTCATTTCTTTCTGCACGTCCTGCTGTTAAAGTCCTTGACATAACATTCCCTGTAGAAAAGAATATATACTTCGTTAAAAAAAAAGTACATATTACATACAACATTTTACTGTCTGCTTTACCCTACCAGCAATGCATGTGATTTGCAGTGCAAGTGGAAGAACATTAAGTTCAAATACAATAGACAAAATATACAGTGCTTCCGTCAGTGTTATTTTAATTAAATTATCTATTTTATCCGTTGTACTATAAAACGATGCACACTCCCCAGGCTTTATTTCTTTACATTCATTTTCCTTTTTCTTTAATACCTGTTAGTAGTAATTAAAATTTAGTTTAATTTCTAGTAAATATTTCAAAACAATTATACCGTATTATACAAATATTATTTTGAAGTGTTTACCGCAGTGCAAAGAGATTGGAGGTCATAACTTCTGACTTTGAGATTCAATTCCTTAGCTGAAACTTGTATGTCGCACATTGGACGACCGGCTAAGACTTGATTCAAATTTATTTTACCCTGAAATACATTATGTCAAGTGTTTTTGTGAAATAATAGACTTACAAAAACGCAAATTACATTGGTATGTATGGCTCTTTCGGAAATGAAAACAATTATGAGTTCTAATATTCCATACCCTAATAAAAGGTGGCACTGAACGTCTTAGTCTTCCGAATCTACTCCAATTCGAAACTTTCAAAGTGAACATCCTGTGCATTAATATGTCAAATTGAAAGCCGCAATCGTATCCAATTAATAAGTCCGGATCTGTTGCGTTAAGTATTTTTAACAATTCCTCGAGTAAGTCTACTTCAGTATCAAATTTCATCACTTTAGTGTACGAGACATTTGAGAGCATTTCTCGCGATTGTCTGGGCCAGGGAGTATCGCGTGGATGCGTAATCACTAAAATAGAATTATAAAAACTTTATATCGACGATCAAAGATAATATCAAAATTCTAAACGATGTAAATTAACATACAGCACATGTGTTGTTGAAACGGTGGCTTGGGTGGTTCTTTATCAACATGAAATTTATGATGGATTAATATAGCAACCATAACTACTTCATTCTGTTGGGTCTTAGAGTTTAAAGATGTTCGTACATTCAAAGTCGTTATTACCAATGGCGGTAATGCCTGAGATTCAGAAGAAACTGATATGTTTTCCATCTTCATACAATTCACCTGTTTGCACATACATTGTCGCGAATTAGTATTTTTCTCGGGGATAAATTATACCGACAAAATTAAATTATACCTTCATTTTACACCAACTAGTTTGTACGCCAGTTGGTAATGGACATTTAACATCCAACCAGCATGGACCTTTGATATTTCTTTCTATTAAAAGCAGTTCCAAAGAATTTACTGTCGTCCCGAAAACACGTTCTATCGATGCTCCAGTATAATCGGAGGGCATAGCTGGATAATGCGCAGAGTATCTCACTTCTAAGTACTCAGACATAGCTGGAGTACCTTCTTGCTCGAAAGCGTAATGCTTTGTAACTGTACTGCAACGGAATTCTTTTATTCCTGACTTATTTGCGAACTGATTGAATTCTTTGTACACGTCTTCCATCGAATTTAATGTTGGTTCATCGTTGCTATCCTTGGATGATTTTATCTAAAATTTATAATCGTTATCATAATACGCTCAAAACGAAAGGAACATGCTTATTAACAGATACATATTTATACGCACATGTACTCTAGGAAGAAGATAAATTCGTCGAGGAATATTTTTTACTGTTAAACAACAAGAACAATATGTCTTTATAGATGGTACAAAGACTTTTCCGAATAAGTATACAACTCCAGGCTGCTTGTAAGGATCTTCGTACGCATCCCACCAATAAAATCGAAAAACTTCTTCTTTATCTGCATTAGTTGTAAGCGGTAAAGACAATTCTGTAGTATCTATGGACATTTCAATGTTCTGTGTTTGCGTTGAAAATTCAATATCTAACAATTTACTGAAATCTTCTGATTCAAATATTTCTTTTTCAATGTCCTTGTTCTTTGCTTGAACGACCGATTTGCTTTTTTCGTTTTCCTTACTGACTGATTTTTCAATCCGATTTGTAGTTTCACTCTCAAAATCTGTACTACAAAACTTTAAGAAAAATAATAATTGTAAACCCTGTAATTCACTTCAAAATGTAAAAGTATTAAATCGAAGAAAAAACGTACGTCTCCGACAAATTGACTAAGATCTTCACTATCGTCTTCGATTATTTGACTGTGACTTTTTTCCATAACATTACTCTTTGATTCTGTGTCTGATATTGCAGATGTCGTTTGTGATTTATGAACACCATCATCATCTACAATAGTTTGGCTATTACTACTCTCTAATTGAAGAACTGATTTTGCTTCTTTATGGACACCTGTTTTCTTGATCCTATCAAATATTATTAAGTCATCATCATCATCGGTACATGTCATTTTTTGATACTGAGAAGTAGAGCTTTGATTTTGTTCTGTGCGAACACTTCTGAAATTATTCAAACAATGAGATTTGTTACTGAAAAATAATTAAGAATCTCACAATATCAGTAACACATATAATAGAAACAATTACTTGTTATTCAACTGAGAATCAGTGCAAAATTTGTTTTTAACAGTTCTTGCTTGTGGTTTTTTTGGTGTATCATTCTTTTTCAACTCTGACATTAAATCTCCTAAAATATTGTCATCGTCGAGGGCAACATTGGTCTTCTTTTTAGAAGGCATATTCATCAACATATTATGAATAGATCCTTTCTTTTTAACATCTTCCTTCTTGCTTTTCCTCGGACCGTTGACTTTTTGCTTTCTTGCTTCTTGAATACTTTCATTGTCCAAATCGTCATCAAAAATTTCTCTGCCATCCTCCACATAACCACTTTCCCCTTTTGGATGAAACAAATTGTTTTTATGATTATTCAGACTTTCGTATCTTAACTAACATTGAAGATATTACCATCATCAATAATCCAATCATCATTTTGCCTTTTTATTACAGTTTGACTATATTCTTTCTCATCAACTTCTTCATACACATTCTCCAATTCGTCAACCTCATATTTATGTTTAGTGCCTTTCAACTGTTTCAACTTTTCTAAGGCTGACAGCCTTCCAGTTTTATCCACTCTCTGGCGTTTACTTCTACTTGCTGAAATTGAATTCAATAGATAACTAAATAGATTCAATCAATAACATATATTATTAATATACAATTGAAATGCCACTAGTCATTAACAATGATTAATAATATTTAAGTTATTTCTCTTTATAACTATAATTCTTAATTACACTTTATCTGGTTTAAAATTTACTAATGAACAATTGAAGACTTTTTTAACAAAATTTCGAAGCACTTGGATGATTGTGTGGTACTTACATGGTGTGTCGCTCATGTTCTTGAACAATAAATCATAAATCGTTCAATTACAGTGCCATAAATTATCAGAAGTGTCGATTTTCAAAACAAAATAAACGAAAAATTCACGTAGAACGTAGAAGAGAGAGCCGGTTTTGTTCTAAGATTTCAGTGGCAAATAGGTTTTGGTAACTTTGGCGGGAATTTCAATGAAATCGATAGATAACCGGTATCGATTACTCTCGACAAGCATAACTGCAAAACTTTTGCACACGATTACGTTACTAACTTCGCACGACGAATTTGTGTTCGACGGTTCAACGATCGACAAGCTGAACGAAGGTAATTCTTCCAGCTTCAGAAAATGTGTGTTTAACATAAATATTCGTTTAATGTCACAAACATTATAGATAAATATAATTCGTGTTACACTTACCTATATTTCGATTTTGTTACGCAAGGATTAAAGTCGAGTGTAGTTTTGTGTCATTCTATTCTTTACTGTTACTGTACTGGACAATTATTCAACACATATTTGTTGAATTTATTGTAAGTTTATTTCGTTTATCGATAATTCGTATACATATCTTTACTTTACTATGTAAAATTTGTCATATTTGGCCAACAATAATATACTTCGTTTCAAATATTTTTAATTTATTGTTCATGATTCACATGAAAATGTGTTGTTTCTTTGTTCGTTGTTTAACTGTTTAAGCATACACACGTTCGTGTATTTTTGCTAAGAATCTTTTTTTACAAATTAATGGAATTCAACAAAAACGGATTTACATTTGTACAGGTTTTTTTTTACATTTTTTAGTTACAATGTCAAAAACACATAGTCCTACTGTTTTTAATGGAGAGGCTGACAATTTTTATGATCCAAATTTTACTTTGGACATTAACAAGAGGATGCGTGTACCAAAAAGTATTCGCGTAAATGGCGACTATACAGATGAAGATGCAGCCGGCACGAATGGCTCTGCTTGGAATCAAGTGGTTGCTACAGAAAAATTTGAGATGCATGTTCCAGATAGAATTTTAGTCATTGGTAAATATGTAATAATATATACTAAAAATTCAGTAACATTGAATTATTATGAAATTTAAAGAAGATTGGTATAAAATATCTTCAACATAAGAGTCTTAAGATTCTTTTGTAAGTTTCCTTTATTCCCTTTATTGACAATTACTTTTTACTATATATGTAATGGAAGAGATGTTCATTGCAATTCACCTCATGTAGGACAAGAGCAACACATTGGTACAAAGGCACCACCAAGGGAAATTATATTAGAAAATGCTGTACTACCAACTGAACCTGGCATGGTTAGAGTACAGGTAAATAATGCTTAATTCTTTGGTGTCGCGAAAATCTTTGTGTATTAACTAATCTTTGTACAAATGATCTTCTAGTACTTTATAGTTTGACTGAAATATATTTTCTTAACTTATTGCATTTGATGACATTCAAATTGCATAATTGATATCTCAAGTTTAATTAATATTTAAATGTTTTGTATTATTGGTAGACACCTCCAAGAATTTTAACATTGGATAATCACTACTTCCCAACAGTCGATGAGGAAGAACCAACATCATATCGAACAGAGGCTAAGGATTCAGCATCCTCTAGATCTCGTGTACAATATTCTACAGAAACACAAATAGTTAGGCACACTAGGTACAGATATTTATACATATACATATGTATATTTCATAGGTCATATTATATAGCATGTTTTGTTGGAAATACATGTAACCTTTTTCAGAGAACAAACGCCCTCTTATAGTGCACTTGATGTTTCTCTTCCTCCCAGTGAAGAGATACAACATCTGCGTAGGCAAGTGGGCAAGTTAAATCGTCGAGTAATGGCCATTGAGTTGGACATGTTGCAACGTCAGCAAAGAGATAAAATTTTATATGGATTAACATTAACATACTTAATTCTTAAAGCCTTTTCTTGGTTAACTAGAAACTGAGTTTGCGTTATGCAAATGGAAAAGGTTTGTATCTCGTATGGAAAGTGGTGCTACTAACCCATATAAGTACAAGCTGCTACACAAGAGTCTCTCTTGCTTCAAGAGAAAATTTGTAACCAAAGACTCTTTGCCCTGGGTACATGAAATTATAAATAATGTTCAAAACGAATGTATCGTGTATATTCAAAATTAAGTTGTTAAGAATACATACATGAAAGTATTACAATCAAATTTTTGAACGTACACCTTATAACGTACAACATTCATTTTTGTGTTCCTTTTAGTGTGTAATTCTCTTTGATTTAACATACATATAAAGAATTGAATATATACGATACCGATTTTCTAAAATAGTTGAATTTGAACATTTAAGTAACTTGTTTGTAAAGTGTGACTTGCAATTTCCAATAAGAAAAGAAGTAATGCATGCATACCTTGGATGTTTAAGTTGAAGATTCATTTTACATGAATGTAAATGTTTAGTAACAATAAATTGAAAAGATATACAAGTATTAGATATAATATCAGGTATTAATAGACAAGTGTGAATTTCCAAATATAAGAAAAATAATGTTGCAAGATCCTAGTTACTGTTATTCCCTGTAACTGAAATCTATTTTGACTTTCATTTCCTTCATTTTTTTTAAAATTCTATACAAGTGAAAGTATGGTGATATATTGACTCTAAATTGTTTACACTGACTATTGTGAACATTTAGAATATTATTATTAGGTTTAACACATATTTTGTAGCCATAATATCCATTATTGTACATTTATATAATATAAATAATGTTACGGAAAATAAATAATAAACTCAAAATAATTTTCTTGCTGTCGTATTCATATTTTGCTTCTAATGCAATTACAAGTTTCAATAATTCATTGCATTTCAACTTTTACCCTTTTAAATAAACAATTCTCTATGGTTAATATGTTATATTTATTTCTATAATTACTGAAAATAATTTGAAATTATTGTTGCAATCGAAATAAGTTCTGAAATTGTGAGAGTATTTCATTTGCCATAAATATCCCGATATTTTAAAGATAAGTAAAATTAGACTTTAAGAGTCCCTGTTAATTACTTGTCACATGACTTAATTTTATTGGGACAATAGTTATTATTGCAGCGTAAGACACATCGACAAAATATTAATAATTCAGTATATCTTCTGTTATAGTTGCACACAACGTGTCTTAATATTTTTACAAAGCGTGTATATACTGTTTGAAAACTAATGCGTTTAACAGTAATTATACTTTGAACTCGTGAATATTCTGATAAATCAAAATATTTCGGATTAGATATTCATTTATCATATTGTAAATAACTAGATTAGAATACACAGCATGTAAAAATTCGGTGCGATCACCGACAACTCTGTACATGTATTTTTTAACAAATTTAATACACATGTGACGCGAACCCTTCATTGGATAATGTATATGAACTAGATCCATTAGGCACGACCATACTCAACATTGATTCTCTAGTTTCAACCGTTGAGATAGTAAGAAACTAGCGAAAGTTGTCGAAAAGTAATTGCATTATTATACTTAGATAAAGAAAACTGTCATACAACGATGAATTTCGGAAGCGACTATGAGATCCTCGTAAAGGAAACAATTTGCGGATTCGACTTGCGTATTGAGTGAAACTGAGTGAAACCATGAAAATAGTTACGTTGTTGACCCGGGTACAGTAGTATAGGGATCTTATCATCGTGAAAGTTAGACAATCTGTTAATGCATACGAGAGGTCAGTGCACGTCACGTAGTTATTATTCGGAGTCGAGAATTTTGTGTAAATTTATCAATCCCGAGGTGTAACGAGAAAGATTTTCCTGAGACTCTCTCGCGGCAAGACATTGCGAGAGGATACGCGGAGGTCTCAGGTGTTGTTTGGAGAAGTTGAGGACTTCTCCTCGGACGAAGTGTTCGCGTACTCGTGTGGTATAACGCTGTTGTATGTAATTGTGGTATTGCATTTCGACAACTTTATTTTCTTAAGGCACAGGCGTCTATTTGGCGTCTGTGAAGGGCAGACAGAGTGTGTGACAGGTTATGTCAACTGGATTGGCAGGTGCTGTTTCAAATCAGGTCAGTGTGTTGACTTGCTACCACACCGCTATTCTGCAGATACCTTTCACTGAAGACAGCCATTCTAAATTTTGTATATTTTTCCATGCAACGGAATGCAGCGGATGAAAGGACAAACCAACAGTCAAGGTGAGTGCATTAGATCCCTGTGCGATATATTTTTTTGTTCGACTACATTTCTCCTGACAATACGGTCTCCGTGTCCGTGCGCAATTTTCACCGTAGAAATTGCTATACGTGCACGTATTTTTTTATCGGCCGCGGCACTATCATTTTAAATACGCGCTTATTTCGTACAATTTGAATCAAACTATTTTCATATTGTGGTAAGTTAATGTGTCTTTTTTTTTCAATCACGTGAATAATTTGTTATTTATATTTTTGACGGCTAACTGTATGCATTCGCATACACACTACCGTGCATAAGTATATTTGGATACTTGATGGAATCCTAGAGCTTTTATCATTATTGTACTGTGAATGTCTCTAAATATTATATTAATACTAATAATATCTTTATTATACTTTACTTGCAGTAATATATACAAAGAAACACATGGCAAATACGATGTGTATGGTGTGTTATGTAGCAAGCAACTCGCAGCAACTGTCATTGAATTTGACACTTAACTGCAAAATCTTAATATTAAGATGTATACAGAACATTAGATACATGTATTAAGTTATTAAATATTACTGAATAATATTATTATATACTCTTTGATAAAGGTAGCTATTGTTTTTTGGAAGGCTGAGTGAGAAGTAAAGGAACATATAAAGGCGAACAGATAATTGTAATAAAATGTCAATGAAAAGGGAAATGATCCACAGATTTTGATTATATGGTGAGATGAGACAGAAATGTTCAAGGCAACTGAAACAGTGCTTCCATGCTTCCGAAGGTTCGTACATAATAGATCAGAAAGATACAGAGGTATCAGAAGACAGAATTTTATGTATCAAGCAATATGAATGTAGAATCTATCACATGTGAAAGGCAGGTGATATATTGTAGAATTTCCAAATGCCATAACAAAATTTGAAGTAATTATTTTGAACGCATTATATAATTAATATTAATTAGTGTTATTGATATTATCGCAGAACTAAAATGTATTATTTTATAGGTGTAAAAATAGCTATTTAATTAATACAGGTCCTTGATCATTTTTTAATAATTGCCTCATTATTGTTATCAATCCAATAATGTACACTGTCTTCATTAACTTCTGCCCCAATTTCTGATGCTGTCATGTATCTACTTTGAGTATAAAATATTCAAATATATTTCAAAGATATATTATCAGTTGCTCTAATTGTATGTTTACAAAATATAAGCAGGTATGGCATAGAAATACATGATATTTCTACTTCTCAAGTGGTACTAAATTTTTAGTGGCTACTAAAGATCAATTTTCATTGAATTTCAGTTATAGTTTTTTTATTTACATCATTTGTCAACAGATATTATTTTCATGATTCAATATTAACTGTAAATGGTCATATAAGATAAAAATAACAGACACATGTGGAGTAAGTAGGTGTACTTGGAATATATTTCATATTCTTTCAAATTAGCATAAGTATTCATATACTTATGGACGGTAGTGTAATCTAGATAGTGCAATAAACTACGAACATACCACAATACATCTTAAGTACTTTTATTACCTAATAAACAGACAGATTTCTAGTATACCTTTTCAATTCCCTTTTGTAATATTTTGTAATTATATATAATATTATTTGTTTAATTTCTGTATATTTATTTTCCGAATATTGTTTTCTTAGTATATTTTACAACAGTCCAACTAATATGTTGTAATATGTACATATTTTACGAGTAATATAATAATGTTCTAGTCTGACTAAAAAATTTTATTTCTACTATGTTATCAAAACAGAACTTCCAGATTATTTTATAAAGAGCAGTAGACTCAGTACATTAATCAGACAAAATTCCATCCCCGATAGTGAGCAATGGTCCTAAAGAACACCAGCAGCAACCGCAGACAGAACATGCTGGCGGAGAAGATACTGGATTTGATTCGTGGAGAGGAGGCAACAATACACATCATTCAAGTTATCCAATTGGTACTGGCGACCCATATAGCCCTTACTATGCAGGTACTTCATTCCCTTATCAAACATTCGGCGCCGGGGATGGTACTTGGTCGAATGGAACGGACCCTGTTGCATTTCTTTCCGGATATGGAGGTCAAATAGGTCATGATGCGTATGGCATGGATGGAATGTTCTCCGCTAGCGCAGGCGGCGGTTTCAGTACATTCGGTCAGCCTGCTTTCAATTATTTCCATGGGAACGGTGATTTTAGTGCTTGGGGCACTCCGAGAAAAACACGCTACGAAGACTATTATCAGGCCCCGCGTGGTAATGAAAATTATCCAACGCCTAGTAATACCGAAATTAAGACTATCGAGCAGAGTGTGCAAGGCCTGTCTTTAGGAAGCGGAGAAGTTCCGCGACAGGAACAACAAACTACATCTAATCAACCGATAAAACCGGAGGCGAAAGAACCCCGAAAAATAACATGGGCAAGCGTTGCAAGTCAACCTGCCAAGCCAGTGCCTCCGCTCTCATCTTCCCAAGGAATGAGAAAGAAGGCTGGCATGCCTCCACCGCCTATTGTACCGGGAAAGCACAATATGGATATTGGTACATGGGGCGAAGGTAAATCGTCTGCTCCTCCTCCAACAGCGCCACCGCCACCACAGGTACAACCTCCCGTTCCACCACCTCCACCATTGGTTCAAAGGCAAAGACCTCCTCCTCCACCCTGTTGGAATAGACAGCCCACGACACCACCATCGCCTCCACAAGCGCAGATTCATATGCCTCCTCAACAACATCAACAACATCAACAACATCAACAACATCAACAACAACAACAACAACAACAGCATCAGCCGCAGCAACAGCAGCATCATCAGCAGCAACAACAACAGCAGCAGCAGCAGCAACAGCAGCAACAACAACAGCAGCAGCAGCAGCAGCAATTACAGCAGCAACAGATTGTACAATCACAACAATCTCACCCTGTTTTGGATGAATTGAAAGTGAAAAACGATTATAATCCTGTAGATTTTGATCAAACTGCTCCTGGAGCTAGGTTTTTTGTTATTAAATCATATTCCGAAGACGATATTCATAGATCCATTAAATATGAAATTTGGTGTAGTACCGAACACGGTAACAAAAGATTGGATCAAGCGTACAGAGAAGCCAGTCGTGAAGGCGCGCCTTTATACTTGTTCTTCTCCGTGAATGGATCTGGCCATTTTTGTGGCATGGCGCAAATGGTGTCGCCTGTTGATTATCAGAGTAACAGTTCTGTCTGGTCTCAAGATAAATGGAAGGGACAATTCCGTGTACGTTGGATTTATGTAAAAGATGTTCCTAATGGGCAACTTCGTCACATTAAGCTAGAAAACAATGAAAATAAACCGGTAACTAATTCGAGGGACGCGCAAGAGGTACCCCATGCAAAAGGAGTGACAGTGTTACGTATATTGCATACTTATCGGCACTCGACAAGCATCTTCGATGATTTCGGACATTACGAGCGCAAACAGGCGGAAGAAGATCAGCGTAAAGTACCGCCGAATGCTATACAGCATCATCATTCTTCCAATCACAGAAACCGCGGACATCCGCCTGATATGCCAAGGGATCATCATATGCAGCATCCGCCGCAATTGCATCATCAGCGCAAAGTAAGCAGTAATTTTTTTAAAGGCTCACAGTTAATAAATAAAATTCAATGGAACAGACATTGTACTGATTTGTTTTGTTTCCTTTATAGGAACGAGATGGTGGTGGTCGTAGCAGAGGCAGAGGAGGTACACGCCAGTAGCGGTGGATACAACAAAAATATACTATTATTCATGATAGTAATCATCATAAAGGAAGCACGCTACGACTAATTATCGTCATAACTACTTATCTTTGCTTTCGTGGATACACAAAGGGCTTCTAATTCCTGTGACAGAACTCTCATCGTCGAGACTATCTCCTTCTGTTAAATAATCAACTTGTATGATAATTAGCGTCGCGTCGGCATCATAAAATATTATCTAATCATAATTACTACGAAGAGGAACGTAATTCACTTTCACGGGATATCGAGTAAACTTGCTGACAGTTGAAGCATATAGTGTGGTGTTGCGTGCTATTCGTCGAAAAGGTGTTTCTTAAACGTACAAATTAAAAATGAAAGGAAAAAAATGATATGGAAGAAGAAAAACTGTAATATGTGGACTAACCCCCTTGTAAAATGCTTGAACTTTTGTTGATAATGAAAAAAAAAATCTATGCGAGAACAATATTGTAAGCAAGTGTCATTTAAATCAATTACCATTTTAAACTTCAATGGACATATACCTGGTGCCTGTGGCTGAAAGGACTCTCCTCGCCTTTCTTTGTTAAAAAGGTGCAAAGGCTTATTACAACATTTTAAGTTTATTTTGTTACTCTATAGTAACGTATATGGTGATGAATATTATTGTACTATTTCATGAAAATTTCAATGAGATTTAATTCTTATTGTAAAAGCATCTGTTATTTTCGTTTTCTTTTAATGTTTGATACACTTTCTTACTCAAGGTTTCATGATTTTATGAATCCGAATTGCTTTTACCAAAAGAGAAACTTATCTATATTTTCATAAATATTTGAAAAGCTAATTGTTCAAGCTCTTTCTTGAAAGAATATTCTTTATGAGTAATATCACTAAATTTAAACAATTTTTCACGGAATTATACGTAGGAAATTGAACATTAATATTTAAAAAAAAACTGCTTATCCAATAATGCGGATTAGGAAACTGAAACATAGAAAATAATAGATTTTATCATAGATTTGATTAATTTTTTAGTAGTTATATATACAAATAATTACATATAGCTGTTGATTTCTAGAAAATTATAGAGGAAATGACGAAGCAGTGATATTTTATTTCCTAAAGTTTTATAAAGATATAAAATTATACTTTACTACGAATCAGCAGTATTTTAGAAATTGATCAGATTTCATACAAACTAATGATGAAGTAGTATGTGATTTTGAGTTTACTAAAGAAAAGAAAAGGATTGTACAAAAATTAACGAATTAGTTGAACACAATGAGGTGCAAAATTTTTTAATTAAGGCATGCTAATCATGATAATTACTTCTGCATACACGATCAATGAATAACAAGAAAAAGAGTACCTAAGCTATGTGCAGTAGGAGTCTCTTTTCTTGATTCTATGTCGTGAATGTTGCAAAACCAAATGCATCTTATTAAAGTAATATATCAACGTTAAAAATTTATGGCTGATATTTTTAAATCACTCCATCTCATTTGTAGTTTCATAGGAGTTAAATTGTCACAGAAAGTGAACACTTAGAATTGTCTAAATAGAATAGTCGATTGTGTAAGCTCTATTAAATTTCTATGTTTTTAGTTGATCAAAGTTAAAAAGAAGACTTTGTTAAATAACTTACCAATTATCAGTTTATGACAAATTATTATTCAGTTAAAGAAAGTAATAAATATTTTCTTCAATCATATTTTAAAGATTCATTTAAAAATGTTTGGATTCCAAAGATTTATCTGAACTTTATTTTATGATTGACACAATATATACTATAAGTATACAAGCTGGATATCTGTATATTATCATCGAATCATAATATGCAGACATACGAATAGTATACTCGTAATGTATCTACACTGTTTAGTATTTACATTGTATAATCATGTTTGATTAAGTGTTGAATCAAACTATGAATTTAATATTCAGATTTAACTATTAAAAAAACTTTCACATGCGCAGAAGATGCATTTTCCGAAGAATACGAATCATTCGATTGCAATCCTGATTGGTAATCCTACAATTAATATAACAATTACTAAAACGATCAGTATCATTTAACATAAACATACGTCGTCTACGTTTCACGATGGCCTCGAATAAATTTCATTTTCAAACAATTTTATACACGAAAGGAATTTGAATTATAATATCACACTAAACGTATGTCCGAACGCTCGTTCGCAAAATAATTCTTGTTTTAAACGTGATTACCAATCGTAAATCGCAATCCTCTTTATTAATGTTCTCTCCGATTATCCCATCTTACTTCCTTTTTCATATGTTTATCGAAAGATTTCCCAGGACCGTGCGACTTGGTTGTCGTCGTCGCCAGATCCGGACACAATTCTTCCGGTGGTGGTGTACGTGGTCTTAGCTCCCCATGCTCGCCTTCATATCTCTGAGCAGCCTGGGCTTCTAATTCTCTCATACAATTCATCGTATCGTCGTGTATCTTTTTCGCCTCGACAGCTATATCGTCGTCGAGTAACTTTTGTCTAGTGAAATAGTTTCGTACATTGTCCCGTACCTCCCGCGAGAACTTCTCGGGATTCTCTTCCATGTAACGGTACACAAAAAGATCGGCCCCTACTATGATGAAGTAATGATTAAATATATTGATTTTCGCCCCGATGTAAAAGTCCCGAGGCGTATAATATTCCGGATTGTCTCTTCCAGTGTTCGGCTTCGGGACCAATGTGGCTTTTAAGAAGCAACCTTCGCGACGGCCCGAGTTACGTTTCTCCAGTTCTTGAATCGTAATCATGCCTTCGCTTAAACTGTATTGCAAGATGAAATCGCGACCTCTGTCTTCAGGGTGCACCGCGTCCATACGCATTGAGTAACGCAACTTTTTCGGGAAATTCACCAGCTGCCGGACAACATCTTTTCTCGGCGGTTTAGGCATGAACGACAAACAACCTGCGTAAGTATCCTCCGGCGTGCCGAATTTTATGTGCGGCGGCGGCACGTATTCGGGCGCCGATTTCGGTTTCTCCTCCGGAAGTGGAATTCTTTCCGGTTGCATCATACCCAGCATATCCGTGTAATACTTCCGTGTGAAGGAATCGCAGTCGTGTAAGAAAAAACGTCGACTGAATATAAAAATCGTGCCGCCTATCTGTAACCGTGAAACACGTTAACACAAATTAGCAATATATGATGTTATATTTACTAATACCTAAAAGTCGCGTTTTGTTTTTTAAAAATATGCCAGTGACTTACAGTGAAATCTTTCGGCGTATAATATTCGATAACTTCTGGATCGCCGTATTCTAGATATACGGCCGGATAGGACGTTGGTAAATTCTTCCAGTCTTTCGGTACTTTCATTCTTTTCAGTAGCATCGCCACCGGATCCTTTCCGCAGTTAGGTCTCAATACTTCTCGCACGGCTATCGTGTCGTCGGTCAAGAAATACATTATCTGGTAAACGTCCTCGTTCCACGTCGCGGTGAAACATAACACCATTTTATCATATTCTAAAAATCGACGCCTAGAATCGTCCGGAATCGGCGTTACGTGCATCGGTCGATTCTGCTTGGATTCACGGAGCGACGTGTATGGATCTATAGGAGGTTCCTCCTTGTTACCGACATCTATGCCTTGGCTGCTCAAGAACTCTCTAGTGAATAGATCGCAATCGATAATATGATAAACTACACCATAAATACCTGAAATTAACGAAATGTGATGGTAAATAAATTACAAAAACATCGCAACACTCTAGATTTGATCGAGGCCCGCATTTACTTGCACTTTACTAAACTCTACCTTGTATTCACAGAATCCTCACGAGTTTCATAAAAGTATATGATAACAGCAATTTATAAGATATAAGTATACATGAAAAATCGAAATTTATACATGTAGATATACTCATCGAACGTACATACGTCAATCCCAACATTGAAATCCTTCCAGTGAAGCGTATCTCCCCTTTCATTTTTTTCAATTTTGCCTCTTCTAACGAGCCTTCCTTGCTGAAAGCCTGCGTTATTAACCGAAGGTTCCATCACGCTTAAGGTATTGTCCTCCAAAAAATATAGTATGTTTACATGACGTATCCGATAATGTTCGTCCGGGGAGTTGAACACACCCTGACGGAAGAATGCTTTGAAGCAAAGGCATTTCTGTGCGAATAACGCATAATGTGGAATAACTTGACGATATGCATATCCTTTTACGCGACCATACGTCAACGATGGATCATATCTGGTTTTCGAGTATTAATATTTTTGTATTAGAATCTTCGATATAAGCGATTTTGTATGAAATATAAATTGAATTATAAGTTGTAACTGAATCTCAGTAGCAAAATGAAAGTTTACATTGTTTATTACTTACTGTACAATAGGTATATCTTTTATGTATGCAGTGGATGCAGCATCTATTGGTCTTTCTCCAATACCAACTCTACTATGGCGCACCACACGATAACCATTCAAAAAATGTAATTTTTGCAGTAATCTATAATCAGTGATCTTTAAAAGAAAAGATTTCTTCAATTTTCATTGATCCAGTATGGTTATTATAATATTAAAATAGTCAATGCGTATCCACTTAACTTACACTTGGATCACGAAATGTATAGCCAGGTATATTTGGTAAATCTTCCATATTTAATTATAAAAGTAATGTGTACAAACCATATTTTTACTAGACACTTGTTTGGAGTAACCTTTAAGTGTCTACCTGTCAGGAGATCTGTTTAATTCCGTTTCTATAACAACGCCACTACATATTGATGAAACACTGATTTTTTAATTTAGTAATGCCTAATGCTTACTGGCTTCTTTAAAGAATTTTATGATCGTATCGTTTATAAGGTAAAAAATAACTAGTTTAAATAGTTATTTGATCATTTATTTCTGCATAAATTATTGACAACAGTAGCATTGGATGGTTTTCACTAAAATCTGTTAGTTGCCTTGGTAATGGAATCACATACTAATTATTTCTTTGAAAATGGCCATACATCCTGCGGATAAGCAGCCAGCCACTGGTACAGTAATCAACCACGCGAATGCAATATTACGAAATAATTTCCATGACACCCCCTCGCCGCCGCGTGAAGCCCATCCCACACAGACAACTGACCCTACTTTACAATGCGTTGTTGACACAGGTAAACCAGCCTTACTTGCCAACAAAACTGTCACTGCTGCTCCTACCTACAATCAATATTTAATAGTAAGAAGACAACTTCCTTCAAAGGTGAAAGTTGTATTCGTGAAATCATTATACCTCTATAGTAAATCCAGTTGTTGGTGTAATACGTGCTAAATCTTGACCTAACGTTTGTATGACTCTACGTCCCCACACCCAAAGACCGGTTGATATTCCTAGACCACCGTAAAGTAATATAAGTAATGGTGTTTCTGCCTCTTGTCTAGCCGATCCCTCAGCATATACAGCCCAAAGTGCAATAAGTGGTCCGATAGCATTGCTAACATCATTACCACCATGTGCAAAACTACCAAACGCTGCAGTTAATACTTGCAGGAAAGCAAACAGTTTAGAGATTTCTGGCGGCTCCTCATTCTTCTTTTCAGGTTCAACTTGAACACCCTCTGTGTCTGATCCTGCTACCATTAACAGAGGACTTGCGCTACTATTACCACGTAATTTTGGCGCTGCTTCTTTAGCGTTACCGTTACTACTACTACTGCTACTACTTTGCGGGGCTTCCGATATAACAGATAATGCTGTAGTTTCTTTCTTGTCGCAGGTACCAAAATTTGTTGTTGCTTTTTCGTTGCTACTCAGTGCAAGTAATATCCTCTTTTTCTGCCATGGAACAACGAATAAATAAACGACGACAGCTGAAAATAAACCGAAACCTATTGCAGCTATTAAACTACCCCACCATGGCACTTTATCGAGCATCAGAACTGAAAACAGAAACATAGTGTTGAACTGTACTTAATATACAAAAGTATTTAGATAAAAGTATAAATATTCACGTTTAGGTCCATCATGTACAACTGATATAACATTGACACCAACAGTAAGACCATATGCTAGTGGGAGAATATGAAGACCTTGTTCTAGGGGCTTACTGGATTGGAGTACAGATTTTCTTAGAAGCCAAAATATAGCACCTGATACAATTCCACTAAGTACAGGACTTGCGAACCAAGATGCTGCTATATTCGCAAGGGCTATCCATTTTACCTGCAACAACATTTTCGTAAAAATCGCGCAATAATGTATACATTAACTTAGATAAATATATGATTACTGACCCCTGCAGTACCTTTACAGACAAGTGAAAAACCAACTGTAGCACCAACAATGGAATGAGTTCCAGAAATAGGTAATCGTAATGCCGTTGCTAGCATTAGCCAGATACCAGATCCAGTTAAACTAGACAATGCTCCTATCATTAATTCTTTTTCATGGCCTTCGTATAGTGTAACATCTAATATACCTTTTCTCATTGTATCAGAGACCTTAAGGGAACATTAATTAATATTTTCTGTGTGTAACGACACTTAATATATAATTTATAAAAATGTAATTGTCTTTAAAAATACCTTATAGCCGATGAGTACAGCCCCAGCAATTTCAAATATAGTTGCTAAAACACAAGCTTGGAATATTGTAAGTACCCCAGCACCAACGCTTGTTCCAAAACTATTGGCAACATCATTGGCTCCAATTCCAAATGCCAAAACAAAAGCTACTAAGAACCCAACCACCACTATCCATACCAAGTGTTCATCATATGGTACAGTCATTTTTATTTACTTAATACTTGCTTCTTTTGAGCTATGGGTATGCCCTCTACTTCTATGCATTTGTCAAAAGACTATTGTTATCAAATGGCCTCTTTCCATACTGTTTGAAAATAATGCATTGTCGAATAGGAGAACATATATATCGAGGAAGAGCTTCTGATTAACTGTGCTATACATTCACACGTAAATACTTATTCATCAGAATGTATACTTCATTTACATTCACATTCATGTATATATATATGTGTGTCTGTGTGTATACATATATATATATATATATAATTTATATTTTTATTTCACTTCTAATACAATCAATCTTGTAACTTTGTACATGTAGCAGAGGTAGTATTTTGGCTCAGCACCTAGTATATTTAGCATTATGTTCTTCTCAGGCGCTAACATACAGTTACTAAATGACTCGTGTTAGCATCAGAACAGTTACTGTGTACAGACTTCTTCAAATGTTTTAGTATCTATTAAGTATAAAATATGATGTTCAACTTTATAACTATTCATTATCAGCGTTTTCCTTACGCGGAAACACGCTGATCGCTGGTCTTCCGGCATCTGCAATTAACCATAACGTGTGTATTTTACGCACTACGTACATGCTCTTTACAATAGATTTGGATATGTTAGAATACGACGATTCTTGAAAGCAATGCAACTACTTTCATTAACAATTACCTTCGTACACACATCACAATCGTCTTAGGACCGAATGTAAGGAACAATGTACCTCGACAGTCCACGAAGGAAATTCAATTATTTGACTGAAACGGTATTGCCAATTTTGTTACGCCCGATTCCGAATGGATGCTATTATCCTTTCCCTATTCACGTGGCGACACTTTGTTAATCTTGATTAAAATTCACATTCCTGACAAAACCGACTTACAAGAAAGTATTCCATTCGTTTCTTTTTACTTGCGTGTAATACCGAAAGTGAAAATCGAAGTCGTTACGAAGGGGGTAGTTTTACCCGAAACTCGACGATGATTTATAGGCCGTATAGAGTATTATTGGAAACTATGTGAAAGTAAAGAGATAGATAACTAGAATAGGCAAAGCTTTCAAGCATATTATATAAAGTTTTTGTACACAAAAGAAAATGTTAAAAGGCGCAGTCTTCCATTACCACTGTTTGCATCATTCTGTGCACGATCTTCCGTGTAGTTCACATTTCAAGATCCATTTTTCAAGAATCGCATGAACGATAGGCATTGGACGACACGATGACACGAAAAACTAAACGAACGTTCACTGAGAGAAAAAATTAATAAGACGGGATGTATTTTTTTCACTCACGAAACTAAAATTACTTCGCGATAATCTTCGGCAACTGGGGGACGCCGCTTAAATCCGCGTAGGGGTGAGATATTGATCCGCCATTTGCCCGCGAAACAATCTTATATACATGTAATACTAAAATGGTTTGCTGCAGCATAAATCCTGACGTGTTGTATTTGCAAATCGATGAACAATCGATCGACCACCCTCACGTTCTAGTATCTACGGTCTGATTTCTCTATAATGTCATCCCGTTTGTCGCGATGCGTTACGCATTAACCGTACGCCGGATCTTCGTGGGGGAATGATGAATAAGTCATTGCATGAAGAGTGTTAAATGAGCTATGAATTGATGCGAACATAATTACCAATAATCGCATGTCTGCTCCTACATGTATAGTTAAATCAAAAGGTCGTCTATACACAAATCTTCATCAGTTTGAAGCATCCACCATGATGGTTATCACTAGACTGAGAATGCTCATATGAGTTCACATTTTAAGAAATTAATTTACAGAAACATTATATTACAAGTGGACAAGTACTACAATTTACTTATTAGGTTTTCAAAAATGTTAATATATACAATATCTTTCTTTATATAATTAGAGTGAAATTTTAAGAAATTCATTTCAATGTATGTATACCATAATGTTTTTATTTTCATTATTACTATAAAGAAGCAGTTTGTATTAATTGTAAACCGAATGAATAAGGTATAAATAAGAAAACAATTCTACAATAATATACTTTATTTCTATCAAATCAAAACATACCAAATATCAGGAATTATACTATTGAACTAAATAAATATAACTTAAGCATATAAACATTTATCATAATATATTTGATCATTGTATTCTTTTTACATAATATAATAACAACTAGTTAAGTGAATGACAATTATATTTAATATTTTCTGCATCGTATGTACATACCAATGTTAGAATGCATACTACAGATAAAGTTAATTCACTGACCAATAATCATTGAAATTCACATGGCTTCCCATCTTTCTTTTTCTTCTATCTCTTTCTTCACTTCATTAAGGTATGGTGTAAGATATAATACATCCTATTTTATGACATATTATGCATATAAAATGTTTTTAATACATATAATACATTAAGGAAATTTTATCAATCAATTGTATTAAATTACCTCTTCCAGTTTAGTCCACTGTTCTGGTGGTAAAATTTTCCTTTGAGTATCTAATTGTAAAGCCCGAACGATACGAAACACACGTTCGTCTCTTACATGCTTAGGCAGTCGCCGTATTGCTTCTTCAACTTCAGGCGATTCATGAATAATATCATCTCTCATTAAACCTAAATTTATATAAAATTAAAAGTACATTAAACACTTTAAAATGAATCTCTTGATTTTTAAATCTCCATTATGTTCTCATTTATAAAATATATTTTTAAAAATACTGACAGCTTAATTATTCAATTAAAAACTTTTGCTAATTATTATTTGTTTGACACTTATAACAGTATACCTATTTTCCTTACCTAGTTTATTAAATCCAGACATGTTGTATACCCATTTTTGCAAACTCGTTCCTGTAAAGTAGTGTAACAGCAATGTTATATAAGAATAAAAACGTATATAAATGTCAAATATACAGATCAATTAAACGTTTACTTACCCTGACGTAGGATCGCCGACACTCTCATGTTACGTCTTTTGTACACCTAACGCGTAAAATATCCTTAAAACTTGTTCTTTAGAACTACTACTTGCTGGACTATGTAGTAAGTCTTGTGGTTGGATAAAAGTAGATAAGGTCAACCAAGAGTAACTATGAAGTTAAAACAGACCTCTGTAGACCTCGACCAAACCCTAGCCCTCCCTAGATCTCAGAGTCCCTAGCCCTAGAGTTCTATACTTCTATATTTTAAATATAGTTGAAGAATGTATATTATGTTATAATTTTGAAAATGTGAAACAAAATCGGAAGTATAATTATTGTACTGGAATCTGTAATTTAATTACATGACGCACTTCCAAACTAGTAATAGTGGCTAGTTAAATTTACAGCATACGACGTGGAACGTGTGTAACAACGTTTTCAAATATTTTTGTAAATGCGCAATAGTTGCCATGATATATAATTTCTCGATAATTATTATATTAAATTATATCTATAATTATTATTATTTTAAATATAATTCATGCAAGAATAGTGGTTTATTCCTTTTATGAACATGAAAAATCGTATTCTATCATAGGACTATTTTACGAATACCCTAGATCCAATTGCAGATGGCGTTGTAACGAGGAACTATTTTTTCGAAGTGTGGGCGTTCGGTGGTTAGTATATAAGCGTGGAAGGAACTACTTTCAATGCCTCTTCCTCATTAAGAGTAGAGTTGTGTTCACGTGTGGTTGTGTCTCCTTTTTCCACAAAATAGGTCACACAACCCACCTCCATTCGTGAAATAACTCTTCTATAAAAAAAAAACCCCCAAAAAAAATATAAAAATTCCAAAAAACACAAACAAAAAAATCGAAAAACCGTAGCTGAAAACCGTGAAACATAAAGTAAAGTGTGGAAAAAAATAGTAATCGTTGCGTTTCGGAAGAGCGCAAGCCATATTGAAGGAACGGGAGAAACCAGAAACCAGAGTATTTTAAACGTAAGCAGCTGCACTACGTGGAAATACTAGCAAAAATGAATCCAGGAGCTCCGAATTATCCTATGGCCTCGCTTTATGTGGGAGACCTGCATACCGATATCACCGAGGCGGTGCTATTCGAGAAGTTTTCATCGGCTGGGCCCGTACTCTCGATACGCGTCTGTCGTGATATGATTACCCGACGCTCGCTCGGTTATGCTTATGTCAACTTCCAGCAACCGGCTGACGGTGAGTATATTAATGACTTATTCCGATATTTCTCTGACCCAGATACCCAAAACCCTTCATAAACTATGTCCTTTGGCTGTATCATTTGTCTGCGCGTGACACGTGTTTCGCATCGTACGATGCCACCATATTGGATTTACATCGAACAAAGTAGAATGTAGTAGATGACGGTTGAGTCATACATTTGATTTTTTCGTCATTTCCTCCTTCGTTTATATACGATATCTAGCTGTTTTGTTGAACAATGACGATGCTTAAAATTACATTATTTTCTTTACATTAAAAATAACTTAGGAAGAAAAATTGCAGTGTTCTTTGATTTTTATCTGTTCTTGCAAAATGATAATATTCGAGTTCTTATCGCCACTCATAAATATTCGGCTTGAACATTCAGTAGTTATTTAAGTAGGAAATCAAAGCAAATTTGTGGATCTTTTTTTGCAAGTAGAAGAATGTAGTAGACGTATAAAATTTATCGGATATTTATGCAACAGTTGACAAAAAGTTTTCGTATATTTTTAGTGTATGTCTAATGATTATCCAGGATTATGTACAGTTTATTTGCCAGCACAAATAAAAATAAGTAGAAGCAAAAGTCTTTCACAAGGATTAAGCAATTTCAATAACACATGCTTATAATGATAGTATATATGTATAGTATAGGATACTTCGAACTCTTATTTTGAAACGTTTATACGCAATAATTCGAAAAAAACGTTTCATTAGTAAAATTTAAAATATCAATTAGTATTTTTTTTTTAAATTATATTGAACATAGATTATTCTTTTCTAGTAATTTATTCAATACTGACATAAAATTAATTTACAGTAGTTCCCGTATAATAAACGCATTTATCCCCGTTTAATTGATGCGGCGTTATCTCCATCAATTTCTGGAATTATTCTTTCCACAAAGCGAGTGTCCACGTTATCTGTGCTACGCATCGTAAAACAGCTGTTCGAACATTTCTGTTTCACTCACACTCAGTGTTTTTCACTTTCGTCTTCGATGAACTGAAGAAGTGAGTGAATCCGAGAAAGATAACAGCCGATAATTTCTAGAACACTTACTTTATCCGATAACTGTCGCGATGCGGATCTGAGACTGCGTCAATTAAGCGGGAACTACTGTACTTCGCTTGTTATTTTTAAAATCAAAATGATAAATTTAAACAATTCATTATTTCAAATGTTATATCTTACTTTGTACTTTAAATACAATCATTTTTGCCCCAACGTACTAAGTCGTAAAAATAATTAGGGTCAGAATGTTAATGTATATTACGATTTCATTTTTATATTGCAAAGAATAAGGAAACAGTTAATTATTATGTATAAAACCACTTTGAACCTAAAATTGTTAATTATGAGGTATATGAATAAATTGACAGCTATTTAAGAATAATTTAATATAACACGAATAAAAGTCCTTTTACTTTTCTTGAAAAATTAAAACATTGAACATCGTTCCATGGAAATTGTTTATCATACAATTGTAACAATTGATCATCGTGATTGAAATAAATTTTAATTTGAATTGTTCATTTTAGCCGAACGTGCATTGGATACCATGAACTTTGATATGATAAAGGGGCGGCCTATACGTATTATGTGGTCTCAACGTGATCCTTCCCTTCGAAAATCTGGCGTTGGAAATGTATTTATCAAAAATCTAGATAAAAACATAGACAATAAAGCAATGTACGACACGTTCTCTGCTTTTGGTAACATACTTAGTTGCAAAGTGGCTCAAGATGAATCAGGTTGTTCTAAAGGTTATGGTTTTGTTCATTTTGAAACTGAAGAGGCAGCAAATAAATCTATTGATAAAGTCAATGGCATGTTGTTAAATGGAAAAAAGGTAATCTTGCATGTCTCATGGATTCTTTTACATTTCTATTTCCTATGTTAATATAAGAGATAGATGTATCTGAACAGAGTATATATTTATTACAATTTTTAGGTGTATGTTGGTAAATTCATACCCCGTAAGGAACGTGAAAAGGAATTGGGAGAAAAAGCCAAGCTGTTTACCAATGTTTATGTAAAGAACTTCGGGGAAGATATTACAGATGACAAACTTAAAGAAATGTTTGAAAAATATGGGACCATCACCAGTCACAAAGTAATGAGTAAAGATGATGGGAAGTCTCGAGGTTTTGGTTTTGTAGCTTTCGAAGATCCTGACGCTGCTGAACGAGCAGTACTTGAATTAAATGGAAAGGAGGTTGCTGAAGGAAGGTGTATGTATGTTGGACGGGCGCAGAAGAAAGCAGAGCGTCAACAAGAACTGAAAAGAAAGTTCGAACAATTAAAGATAGAACGTTTGAATCGTTATCAGGGTGTAAATCTTTATGTAAAGAATTTGGACGACAGTATAGACGACGAACGATTGCGTAATGAATTTGCTCCGTTCGGAACGATCACCTCTGCTAAAGTTATGATGGAGGACGGACGTAGCAAAGGCTTCGGATTCGTTTGTTTCTCGGCTCCTGAAGAAGCTACGAAAGCTGTGACAGAGATGAACGGTCGTATAATAGTTACGAAACCATTGTATGTTGCTCTGGCTCAGCGTAAAGAAGATCGTAAAGCGCATCTCGCTTCTCAATACATGCAGCGTCTTGCAAACATGCGAATGCAACAAATGGGCCAAATCTTCCAGCCTGGTGGCGCTGGAAACTATTTCGTTCCCACTATCCCTCAGCCACAAAGATTTTACGGTCCACAAATGGCACAGATTCGGGCGACGCCACGCTGGCCAGCGCAACCGAATCAAGTACGACCCAATGCACAAACTGGAGGCTCCGGTTTTGCTACGATGCAAGGTCCGTTTAGAGCTGCACCACGTGCTCCTACTGCTCAAGCAAGTGCTATGCGTAATACGTTGTCTGCCAGACCTATCACAGGTAATAAAAAATTTAATAATAATTCGTAACAATTCCGTCGTATAAAACATTATGGTGTTCGGATTTCTGCTAATTATTTTTTGCTTATAGGTCAACAAGCGGTGGGCGGTGCAAACATGCAAGGTCGTTCCATGGCTGGCCCGGCAGTGGGAGTTTCAGCTCAGAACCGTCCGTCAAATTACAAATACACACCGAACATGCGTAATCCACCACAAGCAATGGCAATCCCTGCTCCTACTCCTGTTCAACAAGCTGTTCATATTCAAGGACAAGAACCATTGACTGCCTCGATGCTGGCAGCTGCTCCGCCACAGGAGCAGAAACAAATGTTGGGAGAGCGTCTCTTCCCGTTGATTCAATGTATGTATCCGCAACTTACTGGAAAGATTACTGGAATGTTGTTGGAAATCGACAACTCAGAGCTCCTGCACATGTTGGAGCATAACGAATCGCTGAAAGCCAAGGTTGAGGAGGCCGTAGCTGTATTGCAGGCTCATCAGGCCAAACAGGCTGTGGCTTCTAAAAAAGAGTAAACATCTTACATTAGGCTATTATTTTATTCTTTAATTATTCGTAACGATGTTCATTTTTTCCTTCCTCATTCTGCAATTCTCCTTGGTTTCAAAAGTGATTTACTTCTAAAGCTTTTGATGGCTTAAGCGATTACTACATACAAGAATGACAGGAACAATTGTTATTCAAATCTAATAAATGATCATGAAAGGGTTTTTCATCAAGTTTTATGATAATAAATTTTCCTTTAAAAGTATCAAGTGAGTTTATTCTTGCCCTCGTCTCCTTGCGTATTCGTACTCTTAATTTCTATGATATGAATTTAGTGTTACTGTATTACTTTCAAATGATGCATATATGAATGTAAAGATATATCAAATAAATTATTTGAAGTATTTAGACTATAATTCAATGTTTATTAGGTGAAATACAGTTTCATCTTAAATGTTTATACCCTTTTTGCTTAAATACCTGTTGGAGTAAGGAATATAATTATTTTATCGATAGTTAATATAAGTTTTTGGATGTACATTTTATTTAATCATGTCTTAATGTTTATTTAGTTACTTTTATAAGATAATGAAAATTTCAAAATAATACCATTGGTTCGTTCAATGTATGATATTGACGTTATTTACATAACGGGGTTATTCCATGGAAAATCGATCAAAATCGGACTTTTCGGAATTTTTTTCAATTTTTGTAGAAACTTAGATACCTACGAGAAAAGAATTTTCATTAAACTTTAATGTCCTGTGGGACATTTTGCCTGAATTACAGTAGTATGAAAATCATAAAAATGGTCTATTTTCGCTTAGCAGAGGTATATTAAAAAAATCAGAACTGGTTACTTATAATCGGTCGATTCGGGTAATTCTATTTGCGTCAGTTAAGGAAAAGTATATATTTTCAGAAAAAAACAGCATCCTGTTTCTGGAGGAAATAAATTTCAAGGATAATGAATACGTAGTTTATCCTTAAATATCTCAAAACCCGCGTCTTCGATTTTGTCATTTTTATATATGTTAATTACCACAGTTTCAGTAGTAGACTGTAAAATTTTCAGAGTGGGATCGCAATGAGTTTGGAAGGTATAAGCATTTTCATGGAGACATGTTTGACGATCGAACTACTCTAATAACCAGTTGTATACAAGTTCGGAGCAATTATTAAAAACCATAGCCATCTGTTTCCGTATTTGGTTTGGGTTTTGCAGGCAACGCCAGCTGACAAAATGGTAAAGCAAATTGGCAAGAAATCTTGCAACATAACTTGTGTCAAATTGGGGGCAAAAACGGAACAGAGTCTGCGTGAGCCAATTTGCTGCATATGTTGCTGCCAATTTGCTGCCTATGTTGCTGCCAATGTGGGCGCAAGTTGCTTATAGCAGATTTTGCATCAAACTTGTAACCATAACTTTATAACAGGCATTGGATAAAATTTGGCTTTGCAGGTTTGGCTGACTGGGCGGATATATAAAATATTATTTTCTTTTATTACATGTTTACACCCAGTCAACCAAACTTACGAAGCCAAATTTTGTCCAATGCCTGTTATAAAATTATGGCTACAAATTCGATGCAAAACAACTTGCGCGCACATTGGCAGCAACCACCGCCTAGCGCATGTTTTGAATAATTATATATAATATAGGCGCGGTTTCTTTTAAACTGGCAAATAACAATCTTATAATACATATTACATTATATTTATCATACTTACTGTATTGTATTAAGATTTCTATATAGATGTATATACAGAACTATGTACCTATAGGTGGAACCAACACAACTGTCATGTATGACGTTATAGCCTACCTAACATTATGTATGCAACAACATTATTTCAATCGCTCCTTGTTAATGTAAGTTGTTATTAAGATATCTGACCATTGAATATTACTATCCATTTACTGACCATTACTATCAATTATTTTGCAGATAACAAATTTCTCATTTTTTATTTGCGAATATCTTATTAAATATAATATTTGCGATAGGAGGAATTTTAGATCCCGAGGGAGTAAATCGGGAGTAATTTTTTAAGATAAAAATTGTTAAGAAATACTAATATTCCGCGCCAACTATTTTTCGGCAAAAACTAAGGTACGTAGGACATGTTCATAGGGTGGATGGATGGATACACCAGTAAATAAACATGTACCAGTGAATGAACATTATATATAAGGAGGAGTAAATTAATTTATTATGTAAAATATACAAATAATTAAATATTGATTTTTTTCAATTCCTTGTTTGTTCATTTAGATGATCAACATATTGTTTCTTTAATATCAAGAAATGTTCATTTACTTAATATTGTTCATTCATTGGTGAAACCTGTATTTTTTTCATTTAATTAACCTACATTTTTCGAATTTTTCAAATTGAAATCTATAAGTTATAAACATGTATAGATATTAAAAACTCTATTTTTTATGTGTCGAATAGATAGATAGATAGATAGATATACATATATTCTTTATTTCAGCCTCACAGCGAAGAAATTTGGATTTGGTTTACAACTTAGCCTAATTTTACATTACTAACTTAACTCACGCATTCTTCTCATTCACTCTCATCTTTCATTCCCTTTCTGTCTTAAATCCCCACTTATTTCTTATCATTCTATTGCACATTTTTCTTTCTCTTCCCTCCTTTTTTGTTTCAAATCCCTAAACTATTTCTCTGTCCTCTTGTCCTTTTTTCCACTCACCATGTCTTTTATTCTAACTCCTCTCTCTATTTTTCCACATTCCCTCACCAAATGTTCTAGTGTTTCAAATCCGACCCGCATAAATCATAACTTTTTCATCGCCTTTCTCCCAATGTCTGTTCTACCTTCTGTAGTTTTTTAACTACTATTCTTATAAATTTGTACGTTTCGTTGTAATTTGATTGTTTTATTTTCCTATCTTGTTCCTGTTGCTGGATCTCTAAGTCTCTTCTTCTAAGTTTTTCTTCCACTCCCTCCTCAGTCATGTGCCGAATAATAATTAATATTATTGTCATTTAATAGTCGACCTTAATAGTTACAAAAGCTCTTACGTGTTCATTCATTGATGCGTTTACTCTATGTGTTAGTCAACGTGATCTCGCGCGTCCATAACTTTCGACGTTCGAAAGATAAGGAATCTATCTTTCGGTCACGCGTTACATGGTGTAATTTACATCCTTGAAAACGGACTCCGTGGACCATTATCATTGTGTACAGAGTGTCTCAGCTAACTTGATCACCTCGAATAATGACTTAACGGTAGACTTTATAAAAATTTCGAGGCATGGAACTTAAATGGCATTAAGGGGCACATCTTATAAGGTACCCGTATTTTTTTTGGGAGGAGGCATTTCAGAGATTTCAAGGTCACCTTGATTTTTTTTATCGAAAGCACCTATTTCTTATACCTAGATCGATAGAGTAACAAATTCTAATAGTTAACGAGATATTTAAAAAATAATTTTTAATACGTACTTACCATCTGGAAGCTGTAGGTGCTCGAACTGATTTCTTCAACTTCAATACATCGTTTTCAATACAGTGATTATGTTGTAAATATCTCGTTAACTATTAGGTTTAGGACATAAGAAGATCAACACGTTTTTACTTAGAACTTGATACTCTATTCTTCTAATTCAGTCTCAGTCTCTATTCTAATCATTCTGTTAAAAAAAATCAAGGTGACCTTGAAATCTTGGAAATGCCTCCACCCTCAAAAACAGCACGTATCTTTGTGCCTTTTGATGCCATTTACGTTTCATACTTCAAAATTTTTATAAAGTGTCGAGGAGACCGGGGCAGATTGTAATACGGGGTAAATTGTAACATAATTAAAATTTTCTGAACGACAAATTTGGGAACGCAGCAGGATGTGAGAGCCGTTTGAAAATATTGATAACGTCGGTTTCATTTTAACAATCGATCATCAAGTGTCTGTTTTGTTGTTACAGGTTAGATTATTATTATTTGGAGCGCAAAAGTAAATATTGTCCTAGCACTTTTATTTCAATTAACCGCCATCAGAAACCGTTTGAATTTTTGCTTCTTTGTCGCAAACGAATCATTACATATTGGTGTATTATAATATGTACGCATTTCATTAATTTAATGTTTAGTTTCCCGTTTGCTGAGACAAAACGCAAAAATTCAAGCTCGGGCTAAATTCTAACAAATTGCTTGGGACAAAATGTAACATATTACTACTGATCTTGCTCTAAATGGTGATAAAGTGAACTTGCTATTTGCTGAAATATTAATTACTTTTAGGATGAAAACATACAAGAAGAAGCAGAAAGAGGGTTTACTTCTAAAAAAGATATGAAAACTGCACTGACAGAAATATTCCTTGTATATGTCACAGTAACTAAGCAATGATTGTTTACTATAATAATGATATGTATTTTCATTTATATTGGTTGGAAATGTTCATTTATGTTCATATTTGTGTTTAACTAAATAAAACAGACGTGTTACAATTTACCCCGGGCTAGGGCACATTGTAACAAAACATCCGATTTGTTTAAGATGAACTTAGACGTCTAAGTATCAACGATTTTATCACATATTTACACTCAATGAGTTGGCCAAATATATGAGCAGTAAGTCACGCAAACTATTTCCTGATTGAAGAAAACACTCTTGAGAAAAAAGTGTAAAAACTTTTTTTGTTAGAATCTACCCCGGTCTCCCCTACCGTTAAGTTATTATTCGAGGTGATCAAGTTAGATGAGACACCCTGTATATGTACGATGGAGTGTCGAGTGTCGTATATCCAGTTTTCTTCCGGTAGTCGGTCCAACAGATAAGCCCGGTTACTTCACAACGTTGATCTAAAATCTAAACATTTGCTGCGCTAAGAGTCCATCCATCCATTTATAATTGGAAAGGTGATACGTCACGTGGCCCACGTCTCGCCCCTTTGCTTTTGCACAGTTCTAATATATGGGTCAAAAGTACATAGAGCTTCTATGATAGAGGTCATGGTTTTCAACGTATGTTAAAGATATACGTCTTCTTGTGTAAACACACTCCACAGAAAAACTTAAGGGATCACCTCTGTGAACCCGTAAAATGGGGCTCATTTCAAATGGTCGTAAGTTACGACTCGTAACTCGTAACTTCAGCGAAAATCGTATCAATATCGTGAATAAGAAATCGGTTGAAAGAGTAGAATCCCTACGTTCAGATGCGTTTTCAAGATTTTAGCCTGCGTTGCTTCGTGGCAAAGTTATCGCGATATAAAGAGCACTCGAAAAATTT